TATTTAAATTATTTAAATTATTTAAATTATTTAATTCCCGGGCCCGAATTAAATAATTTAAATATGAAGCTCCCGAATTAAATATTCATATTTAAATCGTGGCCTTCATATTTAAAATATTTAAATCGGGCCCGGGAATTAAATAATTTAAATAATTTAAATAATTTAAATAATTTAAATCCTGGAGGGGGGGGGGCCGGGCCTCCTCCCGCAGGAGGAATTAAATAATTTAAATATGAAGGCCCCGAATTAAATATTAATATTTAATTCGGGGCCTTCATATTTAAATTATTTAATTCCTCCTGCGGGAGGAGGCCCGGCCCCCCCCCCTCCAGGATTTAAAATATTTAAATTATTTAAATTATTTAAATGATTTAATTTATTTAATTTATTTAATTTATTTAATTCCCGGGCCCGATTTAAATAATTTAAATAAGAAGGCCACGATTTAAATATGAATATTTAATTCGGGAGCTTCATATTTAAATTATTTAAATCGGGCCCGGGAATTAAATAATTTAAATAATTTCAATAATTTAAATGATTTTAAATATTTTAAATCTTGGAGGGGGGGGGCCGGGCCTCCTCCCGCAGGAGGAATTAAATAATGTAAATATGAAGGCCCCGAATTAAATATTAATATTTAATTCGGGGCCTTCATATTTAAATTATTTAATTCCTCCTGCGGGAGGAGGCCCGCCCCCCCCCCTCCAGGATTTAAATTATTTAAATTATTTAAATTACTTAAATTATTTAAATTATTTAATTCCCGGGCCCGAATTAAATAATTTAAATATGAAGCTCCCGAATTAAATATTCATATTTAAATCGGGGCCTTCATATTTAATTCAGGCCTGGGACCCCCCCTAGGACCTAAAATAGGGTCTATTTGGAAGTTGGCTCTTGTAAATAAGTATACGTTTTGGGGCCTTTTTTCCTCTTGTGAACACGAGTGCCAGCTTCCAAATAAACCCTATTTAAGCTGCACACGGGGGGGGGGTGGGGGGCCGAACACCCTCAAGATTCTTATGGTCTTTAGTCTTTAGGGTATAGGATGTGTGCTGCTGAGGGCTCCAAATCCTCGAGCCCTCTGGAGTTTTATGGCTTGGGTTCGGTGCTCCCCAAGCTTTGCGGTTCTTTAAATGTCAAAACTGATGAATTATTGAAACGTTTTTAGTAACGACAGTAGCATGTATTAACAAACATAAGGCCATGCTTCCCTCCACAGGCCTGCAATTGGTGCGCTTGAGCCCTTTGTGCTCGCGCTTGGGGAGACGGGTTGACGTGTGACACCCCCCGAAACTCCCCAAGCAGGGTTCATAGGTCCCTTTGTCGAGGGTTCCAAGTACGGGCCCTGAATTTGAGGCCCTTGTTATATAACCAGTACATACTCTATGCGTACTATAAGGGCCCACTTCGGATCCTTACAAAACAAGGCTTAAGGAAACCCTGAACCCTAAAACCCTAAACCCTAAACCCCAAGGTTCCAAGCGCAAACTTCGGCAGGTCTACACCCAGCAGAGGGGCCGCGAGATGGCCCCGAAGGACTCCTCAAAAGCTTTTTCAGGTTCTGGAGTCAGAGTTCTCAACCCCAAAACCCTAAAACCTTAAACCCCAAAACCCTAAACCCTAAAACTATTTAAAACCCTAAAACCCTAAAGCCCTAAAACCCTAAAACCCTAAACCCTAAAACCCTAAGCCTTTCGTGTCTTCGGGGGGTGTAGGAGGCCCGAGCCTTGGCTCCTCGGGTCATCCAGGTATCTGGGTCAGTTTAGGGTTCAGGGTTTAGGGTTTAGGGTTTAGGGTTTAGGGTTTAGGGTTTAGGGTTTAGGGTTTAGGGTTTAGGGTTTAGGGTTCAGGGTTCAGGGCTTAGGGCTTAGGGTTTAGGTGCGGGCTGCACCTTTCCTCGGTTTCGGGGTTCGGGTCCGCGCGCCCCGCCTAATGCCCCCAGCCACGGCATGGTTGAACTTCCCGACACAATCCACCGAACGCAGAGGAAGGCTTGAGAGTGTAAAAAACGCCGGGCCTCTGCAGCGTTGGCACCGTAGGAGCCCCCCTTCCGCCCTCTTTGCCTAACCAAGCCCCGAAAGCCCTCAAATCCCGAGATCCGAACTCAGGAGTGGCTGGTCTCCTACCCGCACTTTGCCGCGCAAGGCGCGGAGCGAAGCCAAGTCCCGATCCGATCCGCGAACGACCGGCAACGGTACTACAAATCGGTTGTGCCCGGAACTCCAAACCAACGGCAACCCACAAGTCAGCTTTTGGCCCCAAGCGGAGTCTATAGTTTCATCTAGTTTCCCTGTGCCGCGCATTCTCATGCTGCCTGACTACAGCGATGGTCCGGTTCTTACCGGCGTGGTTCCGCAGCTCCCTTCGAAGAGGGAATGCTACCTGCTGGCGCAGACAGCGTTGAGGGGATTTGCCAGCTGGTTTTGCTCTGGTCCTGCGTGGACAGTGGGAGAGGCCAGTGCGACCCTTCGAAAGCGTTACATTGACATCCAGGATCGCTATGATGGCGTTGCCGTCATCCATCGTGGATGCATCGAAGACTACTTTACAGAAGGAGGGCACCTCGGTCGTGGTGGATTTGGGACCGTCTGCAAGGTGGAGCCCACTGGACAGGGACTGAGCCGCTTCAAGCCACTGAGCCCAGGCATGGCCTATGCAATGAAGAGGGTTAAACTCCCCAACCGCGATACAGAGTTGGAGTCGCTCTCCAAGAGCATGGTGAAGGTTCCCATGAGCCGCATGCTCGAGTTCCTTCAGGCCCTGGGTGAGGAGACGGCCACGCGAGAGCACGTGACGCGAAATCTTCTGAGGGTCTTGGACATGCCGCAAAGCATGTACATTGTCATGAACCTTCTGGAGGGGCCAACGCTGCAAGGTTGGATGAACGCCCTGAAGACAGCAGTTCCCGAGCGCACCTGCGCAGGCTTGGCGCAGCAGATGCTATCGGCAGTACACTACTTACACCGTGTGGCTGGAGCGGTGCACCGTGACGTGAAACCGGACAACTTTGGCTTTGTCCGTGCAGTCCGACATATTGACAAGCCAGGGAACGTACAGCTCTTCGACATGGGCTTGGCTTGGGTGCTGCCCGAGAAGATCCAAGAGTCCAGCGCAAGGGACCTCCATGATGTTGCTCCTGGGGGCACACTGCGTTGGCTCTCCCCTGAAGCCTGGTGCGGACTCTGCGGCGCCTGCTCGGACGTTTGGGGGGTGGGACTGATTGTGCACACACTCCTCGTCGGAGACATGCCGTTGGGACTCCGCAAGCTTGAGGAGGAGGTGCAGGTCCGCAATGCCGTTTTGAAGCGCAAGTTGAACCTGAGCACCTCCAAATGGCGCCGTGTCTCAGAGCAAGCACGCCAGTTTGTAGACCATCTCTTGGCCAAGGATGTCGCGGCTCGGGCCACCACGACTGCAGCACTGAGGCACAGCTTCATCCGAGAGCAGAACGTGCCCTTGTCATGGAGTTCGAGGGTGTGCACCGAGAAAGTGCCTCCATCCCCAAGTCCGAAGATGTGCACCCAGAAGTGCGGAGGCTTCTTCCCGCACGTGGGAAAGGACATTTATTTTTATGTAGTAGATTGAGTGCTTGTGAGTAGAATGGGAACAGCAGCCGAAAGCTGAACCTACTAGAGTTCGAGTATCCCTGCAAGCATGATGTGCTAGTAGCTGTGATGCTGACGGGGTCGTATAGTCCTGACCTGAACAAGAAACTGCTGCTCTTCCCGGATACAGGCTTAGGCGCGACATTGCCAGCCTTGACTGCATGTTGTGTCTGCCCAGGGCAATTGCCCGATTGGCGGCTGCCATCTACTCGTAGAGCTTTCGCAGGAGCAAACCATACCGTTGGCTGGCTCAACATTAGGCAGGTCAAGTGACGTGTGGATCTTTTGGGCTCATTGAACGTATGGTTTGCGATTCTCCTCCCTGACGCATGCTATGCATCCTTTGAGACAGGGAGACCCAGGCCGTAAGAGGTCGAAAGGAAATCGGATGAGCCACGGAAACATGCTACTTGGGCACGCTGTGGTTGAAGCGTCCGCAAAGCTTCCTCGACCGACCGGCCATCCTTGCACAATCCTTAACAGTGCCGTTGCATTGTTGCATTATCTTTGAACTGTGCGGCTGGAGATTGCGCCTCGGAGAACGACGCGCGACGGAAAAAGAGCCGAGAGCAGTTGGTGGTGCTACCAAGTCTCTTTACCCTGAACATAGGGCAAGCACTGGCAAGCATTGCAAGGGGGGTGGGGCTTTGGGCCCTAAGCCCTAAGCCCCAAACCCCAAACCCTAAAACCGACAGGCTGGCTTCGCTTCTTCCCCTCCAAGGCCTGTCGTATTCTGGACCTGGGCTGCGGAGACTCCGATGCCTGGGCTGAGATTGGCGGGGGCGGGGGGAGGGTGTTAGGGGTTTTCGGGTTTGGTGATGGAGAGGTGTTTCGGGGGCTCGAGGGTTTAGGGTTTAGGTTCATGGGCCAGTTAGGGGGGATAGGGGGGATATTCTTCATGAAAAACAGAAGCCTCTACGCAATCCAAGGTGTGTTCAGTGTCTGTGCCCTATTTTGGGGATACTGACCGGGTTTGTTGGGCTCCCGCGGTTAGGTTACGCTGGAGGACCGGAAGAGGAGCGCTGAGCACACAGATTTGAGCAGCCTCTAGGCCCCGAACGAGGAGACAGAGGATCATCAGGAAGCAGAGTCCTGTCGTGGATTCCTCGCCCGGGCATTTGTAATTAGATCTCTGCAAAGGATGTCACTTTCAAGATTCAGGATTTCTACAATGCTGTGGCCCGAACCCGGCATAGTGCCACCCTATACCCGAAACCCTAAACCCCAAACCCTAAACCCTAAGCAAACCCTAAACCCTAAACCCTAAACCCTAAACCCTAAACCCTAAACCCTAAACCCTAAACCCTAAACCCTAAACCCTAAACCCTAAACCCTAAACCCCAAACCCCAAACCCAAACCCTAAACCTGGACCGATCTAGGAGTTCATGTCGGAAGCCTATGACGACGGGTATGAGGACATTACTGGAGTTGACATCGTGCCTGCGGTCGTTGACGCGATGAAGCAGCTGAACGCTTCAAGACGTCCTGGGATCAAGTACGAAGTGGCTGAGCCTTTGCTGCAGCTTCGCAGGGTGTGGATGCTGCGCTAGGGCTGTCTTCTCTGCATCCTTAAACCCTAAACCCTATACCCTAAACCCTAAACCCTTAACCCTAAACCCTTAATCCCAAACCCTAAACCCTAAGCCCGAAGCCTTAAACCGCAAAAGAGGATGCGCGGGAGCTCTCGGTGTTCTCTGACGGCTCCTTCGACGTTGTCTTTGACAAGAGCACGTTAGACGCCCTGAAGTGCGCTGGGCAGGATGCGACAAGTCAGATGTCATCTGAGATCCACCGCATTCTGTCAAGCGATGGGGCTTCTCGGCTGCTACTGTCGACCGACTGTCGCTGGTGCCAGACACCTGCAGTTTGTCACTCCTCTATTCCAAATGCCCATAGATGCTCTTGGTAAATCATTGCTGCTTGAGCCTCAGGTGTACCTCTGCGTCAGCCTCAATGTACCGGAGGAGGCGCAGCCAGCAATCGACACTTGCATTGAGCTTTACAACCCCAAGTCCTTAACGGCCTAGTTTGCCAGAATTTCATCAAGAGGGAGACGAGGAAGGTGGTGCATTTTGTCGGCTTGCATACCAGGGCGGGTGGGTCTCAGTGGGGCCCCTGAAGCACCCAGTGGAAAGTCTGCGAAACGTAAAAACCCTTGTGGGGGGTTTAAGGTCGAGTCATATCCCTTGCCGAGGAGCGTACGGCTCACGATGACCGCTGCTGGGAAGTGCAGGTGCTGGTGTGCGAGAATGAGATCTTCGGCTTTGCTCAGGGCCTTTTGGGATCTTTTGGGCTTCACGATTTTTCGGAAGATTTCGGGTTCAGTGTGTGTTGTTTTTTTTCTACTTTCGGGTCGGTAGGGCTGTGAGCATGGTTTGCAAATCTGTTGCTAGCACCTGCAACATCTTGAAACGCTCTTCCTGCCGGCTCCCAGGAGATACGACGGGACTGATGACGGCCCACCCAAGCACCTGTACATGTACGTCGCGCGGAAAAGAGCCTTCAGGAAGCTGACGTTTTTGCGCTCCCCCTCCAACTCCTTGTGGTAGCCCTCCGAACTTAAGACCTGTGGAGAGCATAGCTGAGAAGGCCATGGGAGGAACTCGGATGAGCTCCCCTAACCCCAAGCAGAAAAAACGAACCAGAGCCTGAGCCTGAGCCTCAAAAGACTTGGCGGCAGTTTCGGAGACTCTTTAAGATGAGATACAGGTTTCTCAAGGGAAGGGGGTTCTTGGGGGGCAGGTACCTAGGGAACCTTAGGGACGCTTAGCTTTAGGGAGTCGTGTGGGGTTCCTTCAAACCGGCCAGAAGGCAGCGTGTAAACCAATACCAAATGATCTTCCAACACCTCTCGGCCCTCCCAGCAAGCCCACTCTTGCGAGTCGCGACTCACGACTCAATTTTCTGAACTTGGTATCCAAGTACCCATCCTCGTTTCGGGTTTAGGGTTGCGGAGCGGACACCAGAAATGGCGAATCCCAAGGCTCGACACGCTGAGTCCATGGCCTCAGGGGCCCGGGGGGGGGTAGGGGGTAAGGGGAGAAGTACCTTTCTAAGTCAAAAGAGCCTCTAAGCAGGGGGTAGGGGGGGTGGTAGGGGGTAGGAGGTAGTAGGTGGTAGTAGGTACTGTGTTGCCAGGGTCCGTGTAGGGGGTTTCCGAAAATAGGGGACCCCCCAATTTAGATCCTGAAGTAGTAGGATTCCCCTACAATAAGGACCCCCCAAAAAGGTATCCCCACATGTGGGCGGGTTGTTCTAGATAAGATGGAGGAGGGTGGAGGGTCAAGGCACGCTAGCCCCAAAACCTGTACTGCAGGGTCCGAAATGCCTTGCTTCCGATCTGCCCACACCAATTCGCAACCCTCAAAAACCCCAAGAAACACTGGATCGAAGCCCAGCAGAAACTCGAGGCCCTGGTGACGCCTGCGAGTTGCTGCGGTGCGCTTCTGCAGACTGCGATGGGCTCGGGTTGTGGTCCCAGGGCAGCTCGGTTCCCTAAACCAGCTAGGTAGGCCCTTGGGATATTTTATATTTTCCCTTATTGGGTTTAAGAGGACCATATCTAGAATATTTTTCAGGGGGTTTGAAGGGCCATCCTAGCCAGGCCTCTTGCAAGAATTGGAGTGCCCGAAGGAAGCGTTGAAGGTCAACTGACCCCTCCAGCTGACCCGCAGCGTCTGGTGTAGCTCTGATGTGACAGGTACTCCGTGCCGGAGAAACAGGGCCTGACCTCGGTTTCCGGCTTGGAGCAAGATTTCTGGGTGAACAGGGACCGGAGTTTACGAAAATAAGGGCCCCAAATATAGACCCCCCAAATAGTAGGACTCCCTTATAGTAAGGACCCCAATAAAGTACCCGTAATCTCGTAATCCGACCATTTCTCAGTGGCGTAGGTTCCGTGGGATGGGTGTGAGTGGTATTTTGCTCGGCTAGCTTCGCCTCAGCCTCCATTCCATAATGCATGTTTAGAGCGGCTGCCGAGGGTTGGGCATTTCTGTTGATGGCTTGCTACATGTCATTCGCCTAGCTTGCAAGGATACTCCACGCCCAAGGGCCAAGGTAGTTATGAGGTTTGCTTCTGCAACGCCCCACCATGCCAGATTACAGGCTGCAGAAAGCAGCCCTGACAAGCCCCAACAGGTTTAGGGTTCAGGGTTGGGATGTCCCCCCTTATTCTAGCAGTGCTTAATCAAAATTATTCGTCAGTCCCCCATTCTCATCCCTACTAGGGACTCTTAGTACAAGGGTGAACAGCCCAAGCTCGGGCTCTAGGGCACTTCTCCATGGCCCCCCCTGCAGCCATTTGGAGCAGATCAGTCAGAGACGCCGATATTGACGGAGTCTGGCAGACAAGGAGGTGGCAGACATGGCGGAGGCGGCCCGGGACATGAGCCTCTGGGGGGATGATCGATCTTCCCTTGCATTCCCGTATCCCCCCCCTAAAACGGCCCTAAACTCCTCTAAGCCTTAATGCAGCAAAGTTCGGAGACTTCTGACAAGTGCGCGACTGTCTGTTTGACTGAAAACTGAGCAGCTTTGCGGGCCACCACCGGTCCGTGGCTAACCGGCTGATCAAAACCCCTCAAAACATCACCTCCGAAGACTCAACTTCAGTGCCCGTAATTTGGCCCCTTAAGAATAGTAATAGTAGTAATAATTCTATTAGTAGCAATAATAGTAATAGTAGTAATAATAGCAATAGTACTAATAATAGTATTAGTAGCAATAATTGTAATAGTAGAATTAATCGTAATAGTAGTAAAATAGTATTAGTAGTAATAATAGTAGCAGTAAGAATAGTAACAGTAATAATAATAGTAATAATAGTAATAATAGTAATACTAGTAACAATAATAGTAATAATAGTAATAATAGTAATAATAGTAATAATAGTAATAATAGTAATAATAGTAATAATAGTAATAATAGTAATAATAGTAATACTAGTAATAATAGTAGTAATAGTAATAATAATAGTAATAATAGTAATAATAGTAAAAAATAATAATAGTAATAATCGTAATAATCGTAAGTAATAATCGTAATAATAATAAATAATAGTAGTAATAATAGTAATAATAGTAATAATAGTAATAATAGTAATCATAGTAATAATAGTAATAATAATAGTAATAATAGTAGTAAATAATAACAACAATAAATTAAATAGTAGTTAATAATAATAGAATAGTAGTATAGTCGTAATAATAGTAAGTATAATAGTACTAATAGTAATAATAGTATTAATAGTAATAATAGTAATAATAGTAATAATAGTAATAATAATAATAGTAATTAGTAAATAGTAAAATAGTAATAATAGTAAAATGTAAGAATAGTAATTAATAGTAAAATAGTAATAATAATAGTGATAATAGTGATAACAGTAATAATAGTAATAATAGTAATAATAGTGATAATAGTATAGTAATAAGTAATAATAGTAATAATAATAGTAATAATAGTAATAATAGTAATAATAGTAATAATAGATAGTAATAATAGTAATAATAGTAAATAAAGTAATAACAGTAATAATAGTAATAATAGAATTAATAGTAATAATTAGAATCTGGTAGATACTAGTAATTTTGTTGTTTCAATGTAAGTAATAATCGTAAAATTGTAATAATAGTAATAATAGTAATAATCGTAATAATAGTAATAATAGTAATAATAGCAATAATGTAATAATAGTACTATAGCAATAGTAAAATAGTAATAATAGTAATAATAGTCATAATAGTAATAATAGTAATAATAGTAATAATAGTAATAATAGTAATAATAGTAATAATAGTAAGAATAGTAAGAATAGTAATAATAGTAATAATAGTAATAATAGTAATAATAGTAATAATAGTAATAATAGTAATAATAGTAATAATAGTAATAATAGTAATAATAGTAATAATAGTAATAATAGTAATAATAGTAATAATAGTAATAATAGTAATAATAGTAATAATAATAAGAATAGTAATAATAGTAAAAAGAGCAGTGCCTTGAACGTTGGTGGCTGCCAGAACGAGACTGCGGTGAAGATCTCGTCCACCTTCTCTTGGCACCCTGGCAGAGTTGCTCCGGCTTCGGGGGGGGGGTTTCAGTGTTGAGCCTTACGGTTTAGGGTTTAGGGTTTAGGGTTTAGGGTTTAGGGTTTAGGGTTTAGGGGTTCCTGGGCAATGGGTAGTTATATAATGAAGGTTCTACGTACCCGAAGTCAGGGTTCTAAGTAGAACTGCCTTACTTGTAGCCCCACGCAGAACTGCCCCATGAACCTCCAAGTATGAAGCCGAGGAGCAATGTCTCCATGACGGTGAAGAAGGGGCAGAAGCAGGACCCCCAAGGGTTTAGGGTTTAGGGTTTAGGGTTTAGGGTTTAGGGTTTAGGGTTTAGGGTTTAGGGTTTAAGGTTTAGGGTTTAGGTCAACGCCTCATCAGATGCGGCAGACATGCCTCGACCCTGGAACCATTTGTTGCCCTAAACCCCACATCCAAAACCTCTCTTATCATATCTCTATATATACATATATATCTATAGATATAAAATAAATAAATATATATATGAATAAATATAAATAAGTAAAAAATAAATTTAAAAAAATATATAAATAAATAAATATATATATATATACACATTTTTCTTTCTATTTAAACCCTAATTGCAGAAGGCCCCGTTGGGCAAACAAGGGGTCTGGCCCTCTCCTGGCCCGCGCGCGCGGCCGCCCACGGCCTCCCTGCAAATGAGGCCCCCCGTTCACCCCCTCCCCGCCCCCACCCTTGTGAGGGGTACCCCCAGGATTCGATGTGAAAATTGCCCCCCGACTCCAGATGTTATATTTTTTTGCACAGATTTCAATGGCAGAAGGGACCCCCCACGGTTTTCCGGATTTTCGGGGGCTTACACCTGCCCGACTGGTCGAACTCAAGGGGCCCCGCTGGGTTTTCCAGAGCTTGACAAGCTGCTTGACGAGTGAAAGCTAGTACATGAGATGCTGCACCCTAAACCCTAAACCCTAAACCCTAAACCCTAAACCCTAAACCCTAAACCCTAAACCCTAAACGCAGCCGTTTGCGATTTGCAAGTTCAGGCATACGGCTCCCCCTGTGGAGAGGAGAAGCAGATTCTCTCCAACATCAATGGCTCCCTCAGCAGTGGCAAGGTCTGCGCACTCATGGGCCCGTCTGGTGCAGGACAAGCTGCTGAGGGTTTGGGGTGGGTCAGGCAGAGTTTAGATTTTTTGATTTTTTTGGGGTGTTCAGAATTTTTGGGGTTCGACTGTGGGATGTGGGTTAATTAAGGTCATCGCAAAACGCAAAGCTCCCGGCGCCCTGAAACCCTAAGCCCGTGAAGGAAAGACGTCTCTTCTCAACGTCTTGGCAGCTCGAATCCGCTCGCGTGGAACAACCGAGGTCTGTGGCCCCAGACAGAGGTTTGTGATGGCTTCAAGCGTATAGGGCTTCTTGATCCGCATCCTTCTTATTCGCTGTTTCATGTAAGTATGCTCAAGCCAATAAGCCCCACCCAGCCCTTTGCAGGTTTCGGGAAACATTACCCTGGATGGGCAACCCATCACGGGGTCTTCCCTTCGAAAGCGCATCGCGTACGTGATGCAGCAGGACGATCCCAGAATCTGTCAGTGAGTTGCCAACTACCGACGTCCATAGTTTGTTGTCTTCGTGATGCCTCTTGTTCTGCAGTCCAACAGCAAAGGCAGGGGAGCTTCAGGGGTTCGGGAGCCCGGACTCACGTCTTGGGCGCTTATTCCCCTCTTCGATCCGGAGACCCCGACAGCCTTACCCCTGGACTCCTTCCCCTTCCCAGGACATTCTCGTGCCCACGCAAACAGTTCGAGAGTCCCTGTGGTTTCTGGGCTGAGTTTAGCAGTGCAGGAGGGGGAGAGGGCCCGCAAGCTCTCAATAGGTTAAGGGGTTGCTTCACAGTGTTCGCTTCAGTTCAGTTCACCGGTAACCTTGCCGACATCGATCTCAAGTTCAAGCGAGCGCACACGCGGTTTAGGGTTTAGGCTTTAGGGTTTAGAGTTGAGGGTTACGCTTTAGGGTTTAGGGTTCAAGCTTTAGGGAACCCCAAGGTGCTGAGATGCTGCTTACAGTTACACTTTCATGAGCGCTTCAGCTCAGGCATTCTCCGCCCGTGTCCGGTAAGCCTCTCCGCATTCAAATCCGAGTTTTCTGCTTCAGGTTCTCAGCAAACCTGCGGCTGCCCAAGTCCTATTCGCAGAAAGACAAGAAGGACCGAAGGCATGGGTTCAGGTAAGCCTTGCGAAAAAAGCCAAATCTCAAGGCCACAAAGCAGGGCGTAAGCTGTTCCTCCTAAACCCTAAACCCTAAACCCTAAACCCTAAACCCTAAACCCTAAACCCTAAACCCTAAACCCTAAACCCTCAACCCTCAACCCTCAACCCTCAACCCTCGACCCTAAGCTTTGGTCGGAGGACTTGGTCGAGAAGATGCTGAACGACCTTGGCCTCGTGAAGTGCGCTGACACCTTCATCGGCTGCTTGGATGGCCTGGGGGTTTGAGAGAGTTTAGGGTTTGAGAGGGTTTAGGGTTTGAGAGAGTTTAGGGTTTAGGGTTTAGGGTTTAGGGTTTAGGGTTTAGGGTTTGAGAGACTTTAGGGTTTGAGAGAGTTTAGGGTTTAGGGTTTAGGGTTTAGGGTTTGGGGTGATGTTCCCCTTTCTACTAAGAGTCTTTAATCGGGATGTTTTGGTATCCCCTATTATAATCCCTACATTAAGGACTGTTGGTATAAGGGGGAACATGCCAAGTTCAGAGTGGAAGAGGGTTTTGTGCACTCGCTTCCGCTTCAAACGCTGAGCCCTAAAACCCCAACGCGGGTGTCATGGAAGGGTTTAGGGTTTCGGGTTTAGGGTTTAGGGTTTAGGGTTTAAGGAAGGTCAGGCCCCCAAGCCCAAAGAAACGAAGGAAGCTTGCTTTTAGAGGCCCCAAAACCACATAAGCATAAGGATCCTGGTATTGGGGGTATAAGGGTCCCTATAAGGGGGATTCTGGAAACCGTGGTTTGTAGGATCCTTATGTTTATGTGGGTTTTGGGGCCCCTATGCTTGAGGGTCAAGGCCCAGGGGTATGTTGAAGGTCGAGCACTTTGTGAGTGTTTCCGAGCCTGAGAGTTTCGGCCGTTTTGCAGCTGGTAAAGTGTCACTTCGAAGGCAGTACGAGGGAGGGGGGTTGTACAGTTTCGGGTCTGGAGTTTAGGGCCCCCTATGCAGTGGCTGAAGATGGAAAGCACAAACGTGTCCCAACATACTCATGTGTGGTGTGTGTGTGTGTGTGCACATACCTAAAGCATAGGTCGCCGGACGCAGTGCAGGAATCCACTCAACATGGCAGTTTCGCATTTCCACCCGCTGCGAGTTCACAGGCACCACCCAAGTCACATCCGGCCAAAGTTTGGCTTCGCCCCACCTCCTCACCCTTTGCAAAGGGGGATGGGAGGATTTCCTGGCACCAAAGTGAGGCGACGACATGATCCGCGGCGTCTCCGGCGGTGAGAAGAAGCCCGGGGCCTGGACCGGGGGATAGGAGGCTTCGAGCCCTAACCCTAAACCCTAAACCCTAAACCCTAAACCCTGAACCCTGAACCCTGAACCCTGAACCCTGAACCCTGAACCCTAAACCCTAAACCCTAAACCCGAAGCGCCCCAAACTTCGGGAGCCCACTCCGGCATGGTGACGTCAACACGCTTGGAGCAAGAGGCCCAAGAGGCCCAAGTTCCAAGGATGCCATCGCACTTTAGGTTTTCCCTTAGGAGTTAGGGTTTAGGGTTTAGGGTTTAGGGTTGCCTGAGTCTCTGTAGGGGCCTTCGGAGTGATGTCTGCAAGCTCCTGCCTGTCCCCGTCGCTGGTGCAGAGTTGCTGCTGTGCTTCTCCTTCATAGTTACTAGAGCCTGAGGTTGGCGTGGCACTCTGCTTCACCAGCCTTGAGATAGATGCAGCCCTAGGCCCTAGGCATCTTAAGCTCATCAGCTCAGGCGCACCTGTGTTGGAATCGAGCTTATCATGAAGCCGAAGTTGATCTTCTTGGACGAGCCCACCTCGGGCCTCGTGGCTCGGCTGGGCGGCTGGGGGTGGCTGCTGAGGTGGCAGCTGGGTCGCTGCTGTAACATGTGCGGTGTAGGAGCGGTGTAAGTGCTGAGTTACGGCTTTATTGTGAGCCGCTTGCGTCGAGTTTTGGCAGTTCTTTAGGTGAAGGCTCAGTGGGGTCTCTGGATGGCCCATGTTTCAGGGTTTGGAATCTAGGGTTAGGGTCAGCTCTGAGCCAATGCGAGGGGTTTTGCGGCTTCGGATTCCTGGTCCACAGCCCCTCTCAACCCCAAAAGCCTGAAGTCCATCCTCAAGTCCCCGAAGCCAAAAAAACCCCTAAACCCCTAAACCCCTAAACCCCTAAACCCCTAAACCCCTAAACCCCTAAACCCCTAAACCCCTAAACCCCTAAACCCCTAAACCCCCTAAACCCCTAAACCCCTAAACCCCTAAACCCCTAAACCCCTAAACCCCTAAACCCCCTAAACCCCTAAACCCCCAAACCCCTAACCCTAAACCCGAACACGAGAAGGGCACAGAACCCGAACTCCAGGATTCGTATGCCGCGCACAACGTCATCTTGAAGCTGGAGGTGCGGCTACAGGTTTCAGGGTCTTGGAGTTTAATTTGGTTCTTTGTTTAGTTGATTTGGAGTTTGAGGTTTCAAAAGTTTGTGGTTTTGTGGCTTTGGGGTTTTGGTTTCGAGGTTTGGGGTCTGGATTGGGGTTTCGGGTTTGGGTTTTTTCTGGAGCTTAGGGTGTTGGATTTGGGGTTTGGGGGCCGGTGAGGAAGTGGGCCTCTGACTTTGGACCGTCTCCATGTCCTCAGATCCTCAAGTGACTCAAGTGAGGGTAGTGAGCAGGGTCTCGTTTTGGGGGGTCCTGCTTCTTTTAAGGTGTCCACCCGAAACCCTAAACCCTAAACCCTAAGCCCTAAGGCCCTAAACCTTCAGCCCCAAGCCCCAAGCCCCAAGCCCCAAGCCCCAAGCCCCAAGCCCCAAGCCCCAAGCCCCAAGCTACTTTCGGGACCCTACTCTAGACCCCCAAATAGTAGGATCTGCTTAGAATAAGGATCCCCAACAAGGTACCCCTAATTTCGGAAACCGCCCAATTCACCCTCAGAGCAAGGAGCTTGCCAGCAAAGAGGGCTGCAACGTGCCGCCGGGCAGCGGTGGAGGGTTTGGGGGCGTAGAGGCCTTTAGGGCTTTAGGGCTCTCGGGCTCTAGGGGTTTGGGGCTTAAGGGCTTTAGGGCTTTAGGGCTTTAGGGCTTTAGGGCTTTAGGGCTTTAGGGCTTTAGGGCTTTAGGGCTTTAGGGCTTTAGGGCTTTAGGGCTTTAGGGCTTTAGGGCTTTAGGGCTTTAGGGCTTTAGGGCTTTAGGGCGTTAGGGCGTTAGGGCGTTAGGGGTTTGTTTAGGGTGTTAGGGGTGAGTGGAGGGGGGAAGGCATCTTGCTGCCTTCCAGGAATGGTGGATAATGTCCAACCCTAAACCCTAAACCCTAAACCCTCAACCCTCAACCCTCAACCCTCAACCCTCAACCCTCAACCCTCAACCCTCAACCCTCAACCCTCAACCCTCAACCCTCAACCCTAAACCCTCAACCCTCAACCCTCAACCCTCAACCCTCAACCCTAAACCCTAAACCCTAAACCCTACAAGGTTCAGAGGATGGCCTCACAACCCTGTCTGCCTTTGAGCTTCAGCAGCGCGCTACGCCACTGCCTCATCCTGGACAGCTGAGGCTCTGTACCATCCACCAGCCATCCTCGGAGGTCTTCCACCTCTTCCACAAGGCAATTCCGGCAGACGCCCATAACTTGGGGGTGTTACCCTTTATACTAAAACAGCTCCTTAATCGGGATTCTGGTACCCCTATTCAAACCCCTTTGAAGGACCCCTTTTCTAACACTCCTGAATGGGGATTGTCGTACCCCCCCGTTGTAACCCCCATGCAAACCCACAGCCCGGCTCCAGCCCTGACTTTCGGGCTTAGAGGCTGCAGGGTGTTGGGTTTAGGCTCTTGCCCTGTTTTGGGCTTCCGAAGCTGTCTCCGTAAACCCTAAACCCTAAACCCGAAACCCTAAACCCTAAACCCTAAACCCTAAACCTGAAACCCTAAACCCTAAGCCCTAAGCCCTGAGCCCTAAGCCCTAAGCCCTAAGCCCTAAACCCTAAACCCTAAGCCCTAAGCTCCTAAGCCCTAAGTCCCAAACCCCAAGAAAGTAAGGGCCATCTGAAGCCTGCACCAGGTCATGCTCCTGCGCAGCGGCCAGCTCTTCTTCTTCGGTGGCATCAGCGGGCTGTCCGTGCGGGCCTGAGCCAAGGGGCCCGGCTTTGAGGGATTTGGGGTTTAGGGTTTAGGGGTTAGGGTTATATCAGGGTTTATATTCCTGTTCTTAGTGAGTGGTTCCTTTTTCATATTGGTGAGTGTATGTACTTGGTTTATAAACCCTACTTTATGTAAGGACAAGGACGACTCTGCCTCCTTATGCTAACAGTCCTTAGCCCCCACTTATCAGGAACGACTTTGCCCTTAGCTTGTGATGTTTCCCCTAATTGTAACTGTCTTGCTTTCCCCTTATTGTAAGAGTCTGGCGTCTTCGAGGCAAAGGCACAGGGCTTCGGCTTTCCGAAGCCGCGCGCTCTCTTACCCCTCGCTTTTGCCTTTGAAGCCCTGGCCTGCCCACGTTTGGGTTGCCATAAACAAGGGCCCCTGACTTGCTACTTTTTGTTTGCCCGGGAAAGCCCCAAACCCTACACCCTACACCCTACACCCTACACCCTACACCCTACACCCTACACCCTACACCCTACACCCTACACCCTACACCCTACACCCTACACCCTACACCCTAAACCCTAAACCCTAAACCCTAAACCTAAAAAACCCTAAACCTAAAAAGCCCTAAACCCTAAACCCTAAACCCTAAACCCTAAACCCTAAACCCTAAACCCTAAACCCTAAACCCTAAACCCTAAACCCTAAGCCCTAACCCCTAAACCCTATTTTTTGCAGAAAGCCCACGCTGCAGGAGCAGCTGCATGCCGTCAACAAGGGCTGCCCCAACGAGTACAACCTGGCCGACCACGCCATGTTTCTGCTCCAGACCCCTGGTCTCAGGCGTTTAGGGTTTAGGGTTTAGGGTTTAGGGTTTAGGGTTTAGGGAAAGGGTTTAGGGTGGCTCAGGCGTTTTTAGGACTGTCGGATGCCGGCTTGATCAAAAGGATGGGCGCTGGGGTCTCCCTGAACCCTAAACCCTAAGCCCTAAACCCTAAACCCCAAACCCAAAACCCCAGCCTTTCTGCTTTTGCAGCTTTTTGATAAGCTTCCTCGGCTTGATGGGGATTGAAGCTGTTTGTGGCTGCGGTTGTGTTGCGGGTTTGCTGCCGGGCCCGAACTCCTGCTGTTTGCAGTGGTCTTACCCATAACCCTACCTTGTAGTTACCCTAAACCCTAAACCCTAAACCCTAAACCCTAAACCCTAAACCCTAAACCAGAAAAAGTTGAGCAAAGGACTGAGTCTGACGAACAATTGGACTCTATGCAGGCCGGGGGGCACCGTTTCGGGCCTAGGTTTGAGGTGCCTGGGGGTTCAGGGTTTAGGGCTTAGGGTTTAGGGTTTAGGGTTTAGGGTCTAGGGTTTAGGGCTTAGGGCTTAGGGTTTGGGGTCTAGGGTCCAGGGTTTAGGGTTTAGGGTTTAGGGTTTCTCAAGGAGCTTAAAGCCGTTCTCTAGGACTCTTAAAGGCTTGAAAGGAATGGAGTTTGAGTTTACGATGTTGAGGAGAGATTCCCAAGGTCTTAGAGTCCCGAAATGTCCGCACTTCCGGAGCCCTGACCCCAAGGGTTCGATGAAGAAAAGCACCATCGGCCCCCAGGCTAGCTTCTAAACGCCCAAGTACAAAAACTGCCAAAATGCCCATTCTGCTGAAGTACATCTCCCTAAACCCTAAGCCCCAAGCCCTAAACCCTAAACCCTAAACGCTAAACGCTAAACCCTAAGCCCTAAACCCTAAACCCTAAACCCTAAGCCCTAAACTCTGTATGAGGGCCCCCAATTTCTTCGCTCAGGGGTTGGGGTCCGGGGATGGAGCCGCTTTGCCCCGAGCATCTAAACCAGTCCCTCTCCGCACCCGGAAAGCCCAGCCCCATACCAACCCTAGTTTAGAGCTTAGGGTTTAGGGTACTTTAAATTCAGAGCCTTCGCCCGGATACCCAGGGCGACAGCAAGTGTCCACAAAGGCTTGCAGAAAAGTCCCGCGCTTCTTAGCAAAACGTAAAATGAAAAGTTCTTTGACCTGCCAAACAAGGAGTTCTTCTTGGCATTTGGACGGTTCGGTGTCTTGCGCTTTCAGATAGTAAAGGGGCCTTCATATTTAGAATAGGGTTTTGGGGGGTTATCATTAGTATCCTTACATAGGGACCACAAGGGAGGGAATACCACTAGTAATTATTCCGACCCCTATATCATTCCATGGCTGCGTTTTTTTCGCACCCACGAAGTGACAGGCGAAGATGATCATGGAGAAGGCGGAGGCAGCGTGGCTTGGGGGTCTTCGTGTGTTCTTTGGGGTAGAGCCCGTAGGCACATGATGGGTTCGCGGTATTCCCCTCCCCGTAGCATGATGTATCCCCCCCAAGAAAACCAAAAGCCGTGATAAACCATTAGAGTTTAAGCGGTTACATGAATCAAGGGATGAAGACTCGTATCCCTAAGGTTGTGCCCCTAAAGGTTCCCCTTAATTTACTCCTAATATGGCCCTTTTCTTCCTTTAGGGATCCTCAAGAAGGGACCCCAAAACCCAAGGGTACAACCTTAAGGGTCCAAGGTAGAAGCCCTCGAATGAATACGACTGCACGCATGTCTCCCATGCCCCAAGTTGGTGGTGGCTGAGCATCTCATCCTTAAACCAAGAGCTAGCCCTAAGCCCCAGACACCAAGAAGCTCCGCCAATAGGCCGTTGGCTAACATATGGGCAGGCCTACCGTAGGCCTAGGCCTGTAGGTAGCTGTAACTAGGCCAGTAGCCTGTCGGGTCTGCGGGTAGCCTGTAGGCAGGCAGTGGGCTTGTGGGTAAGGATCTCCGGCATCGTTGGACATGGCCAGGCAGAACATGCAACACGAGCGTCGAAAGTTTTGTTCGGCTAGATAGAGCTGCTTAGCGGGGTTTCCTTGTAGACCTTGTTTGAAGAAAGGAATGCAGAATGACGGCTCAGAGGCCCAGAGCAAAACACCTCAGTCCGAAGGCCACTGCGCTGAAGATGTGTGGGACATCTGCCAGGGTCTAGGGAACCCAACCCCCAACAACCCCTCCTAAACCCTAAGCCCTAAACCATAAAGGCATCATCTCCAGACGTGCCACACGAGAAGAGCGTCATGACGCAGACGCCCGGACCCTGAATTGGAAGATGGCGACTCGGAGGTTCTCCCTCGCGTGCCTCCGGGTACTCAGATTGGACGGGAGCTTGTCAGCTGGACCCGCTTTCAGCTGCTATAATATTATAATACTATAATACTATAGTACTACAATTGAAAATGACTATACTATAATACTATAATACTATAAGGGGTCATGGAGTTCTAGGGTTGGGCGGCTTAGCGCCTTTTGACGTTTGAGGGTTTCCGGGCCCAGGAAGATGGAGGGCACCACGGCCGGATTCATCACCCAGCTCATGGCGCTCACGAAACGCCGCTTGGCCCTCTGCATTGTAGAACCCCCCCCTCTCCCCCAGCATATTGTTGAGGCAGCTGCAGGTTTTGGTAAAGCCATGGAGGGCCTGGGCAAGCCGCCACTAGTTCTCTCACCCTCAGCCAATTGCAATCGTCCATGTCAAAGCCTAAACAACCACGAAACCCTAAACTCTAAACCCGAAACCCTAAACCCTAAACCCTGAACGCTAAACCCTGAAAGCCCGATTTCCAGGAGAGGCCCAGAACATCTGGCGCGACAAGCCGGGACTGATCGCATCCATCGTCGTCCCTGTCATCCTGAACTTGTTCTTCGCCTTGATTTTCTACCAGGCGGCTGGTCTGTTCGGGTCTTCAGTACTACGATTCTCTAGCATAATGCTATAATACCATATTACTAGAATACTATAATACTATAATGCTATGTAGTATAATGCGATAATACTCTAATACTCTAATACTCTAATACTCTAATACTCTAATACTCTAATACTCTAATACTCTAATACCCTAATACTCTAATACTCTAATACTCTAATACTCTAATACTCTAATACTCTAATACTCTAATACTACAATACTAGTATACTGTAATACTATAATACATAATACTACAATACTACAATACTACAATACTACAATACTACAATACTTTACTACTACAATAATTCAACACATGCCAGAAGCAACGACCTTCCGCCACCAGCCTGCAGTTGATCAGCCCCTGCATCATCGCTCATGGGTGTTCGTGCTTTTCCTGGTGTTTTCTTGCGGCTTCTCATGGCTTCGGGTTTGGGGTTTCGGGTTTAGGGTTTAGGGTTTAGGGTGAGAAAAATGCGCTGCTCAACATGCCAAGCATGGCGCCTAGAGTGGTGACGAATACCCCTTTGGTTCAACCGGCCATCCCCTGCAATTCATGGGGGCACACGTTTCAATCCTACAAGAGTTGTGCACAAACAAATTACTTGGATACGTCTTAGTTTTGATGTTCTTAGAAAAGCCTTCCAACAGCAGCCTATTGAAGGTCCTCAGAATATCAGGCCAGCAGCAAGTGTTGGGGTTCTTCCAGATTTCTAGCGAAAGAGAATGGAATGGACGATAGCTTTCACATGAGACTCTCCGCTTGAGTTCGTGGGGAACAGAATGGGTTCTGTGTGGGTATTGGTAGTTTCATGGGTCAACTGATGCCGATCATTGCCACGAGATGAATGACTTGTGTCGTACGCCTGCCAATGTGCAGCTACATGTCTGGCCACGGAAATTTTCTCTCCATCTGCTGCAGTATCAGAATGGCAACCCAAGCAAGTGCTGCCAGCAAAACTAGCGTTGTGGTAGCGGCTCTACTTGCAACCTATAAACCCGTTTTAATCCACGGGGATATCAATGTGGCTGGATGCAGGTCGGCGATATCACCCTGGACGATTACGACCCGCGCTCGCACTTTGGAGGAATGACGCAGGCGCGCACATGTGCCGGACTACTTTGTGTTGTGCTTGCAACTGTACTTTTGGCTGTGAGAGAGCCTTCTGGCGCGTGTTGCGACCGATGGCATCTATCTGATTGTGGAGCATCCGGCTTGAGCTGCAGGTGGCTATCGGAGGCATGTTTGGTGCTGCTCAGCCGCTCCTTGGCTGCTGCACGGGAACAAGCCTGAAAGGTCTCTTGCGCGATGGGCGATCAGAGTTTAGAATCAGGTCCTTTCAGTGGCACACTACAATTCCTTAAGCCCCCCCGCATCTACCCCCTCCATTCAAGAAGGGGAGTTTGCCATGCGCCGGTCGTGAGGAGAATCGAGGTGGGTTCAGTGTTTGAAGGGTCAATGTACCCAACTTGGACCGTAGTCCAAAGCCTTACAAACTCAAAGATCTCAAAGTCTCCAAGCGGCAGTTCCTGAGGTTTTTGGTTCTTGTTAAGATGCGCTCACGTAGAGCTGAAGGGTGTAGAGCTTCTTCGAGTTCCGGAGTTGTTGGCTCCAACAGTCCAAAACCTTGCGCCGGTGTTGCCCCAAAAAGCCATGAAACCCAAAGCTCCAAAAGTCCTGAACCTTGATCCCCCCCCAATCCCGAAAACCCTGAAACCCTGAAACCCTGAAACCCTAAACCCTGAACCCTAAACCCTAAACCCTGAAACCCTACAGCCCTAAGCCGCTGGGCCCCCCCCCAAGCCCTCAGACGTTCAAGCCCGAAAGCCCCCAAACCTAAGAACCTGCGACCCGAAAACCATCTGAAACCCTTAAAGCCCGCGAACTCTGTCATTTCTTAAACGCGGCCCCAAGCGCCCCCAGGCTACTCCTGAGATTTCCACTGGACCGTGGGATCTTCCTGCGCAGCGTGGCGGCAAGACGCAGGGAGGAGGGGCGGCGGGATTCCTGGGCTGAAGGGTTCACCCCTCAGGGTTTGGGGTTTCCGAAAATAGGGGTACCTTATGTCGGGTCATTATTATAAGGGAATCATCTTTTTTGGGGGGCTACAGTAGTCCCTTGTTTTCGTAAACTCCCCTTTGAGGGGTTGAGGCGCTTGCAGAGGGCCTTAGGGTTTGAGGTGGGCTCACAGGTGCAGGACTCAAGGTTTAAGGGATTGAGGGCTTATGTGGGTGGTTGTCAAAATTATGATGCCATTTGGGGTGGCGGGCACCTTCAGGTGTCAGGAGGAAGGACCCGTAATTATTAACCCTAAGCCCTAGACCCTAGACCCTAGACCCTAGACCCTAAACCCTAAACCCTAAACCCCAAACCCCAAACCCCAAACCCGAGACCCTAAACCCTAAACCTTAAACCCTAAACCCTAAACCCGAAGCGCCGGGACTTGCTGCTTTCAGGTGAGTACGCGACGCAGACCTACGGCTCCGCTGCGTACTTCCTTTCGAGACTTGGGGCTGTTTGAGGTGATAGGCTCGGAGACTCCCCATTAAGATCTGGGGCTCTTCAAGTGATGGGTTAGATTCGGTTAGATGATTCTCCAAAAAAGGAGGGGTGAAGGGGTGGGGGCCAGAGTAGGGCTTGGTGTCTATCTGTGATAACGGACCTCAATGTAGAGCGGCTTTGGAACGCATGGAATTGGCTTGCAAGCCCTGCATGAAACCCGATGCCTTAAACGAGACAAATCTTTAACAGCTTAAGCCTAAGCCCTAAGCCCTAAGCCCTAAGCCCGAAGCCCGAAGCCCGAAGCCCTAAGCCCTAAGCCCTTAGCCCTAAACCCTAAACCCTCAACCCTATGACATCTTCGGCAAGAACCGAATTAGGAAGACGATGGTCGAGCTTCCGCAGTCCTTCCTGAACGCGGCGGCTGGGCTTTGATGAAGCATCCCACACCGAAGTCCTAAACAAAGCCCCATTGTAGCTAGGGGGTTTAGGGTTTAGGGTTTAGTTAGGGTTTAGGGTTTAGGGTTTAGGGTAGGCCGTTTGGATATTCTATAGTTTCCCCTATTGGATGCAAGAGGATCAGGTTCAGGAATATTTTCAGAGGGTGTTCAGGGCCATCCTAGGTAGCGTGGACCTACATCTGACCGAGCAAAGACGCTTGCACTGACGTTTACAGGTCCTGAGCAAGACTTTCTTTGGCAGGTCCAGAACATGTTTCACAGTACTCCAAAAGCACAAGCGCGAAAGGACACTAAACCCTAAACCCTAAACCCTATACCCTAGACCCTAAACCCTAAACCCTAAACCCCAAAACCTAAACCCTAAACCTTAAACCCTAAACCCTAAACCCTAAACCCTAGTTCCAGAGGTCAACCAATTTGCAAGACCTGCTTGAAGGTTAATGGGTAGCTATGAGTAGGGTTAAAAGTACCCTATATAAGGTTAGAGCCAAGTAGAACGGTAGTAACCCCATTTACAACTACCCATGAACTCCAAGTACCGCAGACGCGGCGTCTCCTCTCGAGAAGAAACCCTTGCCTTGTGTTGGTCGATGTGTGAAACATGCACGCCTAAACCCCGAACCCTAAACTGTACTAGGACCCAGAGGGAGGCCCTGATTCACTTTCTTAGGGTTTCGCTTCCTGTATACAAGCCCCTTTAAGCCTCCTAGGCTGCGCTTCGGTCCAGAGTAGGTACAGAAGGGGTATAGTAAAGGGTCTTCTTTGAGGTGCCCATACCCAGGGACCATGACACTGCCCTAAGATAACCCCATCCCCATAAACCCCTATAAATCCCTATAAAACCCCTATAGACCCCCTCCAAACAACCCCTCTAACCTCTTATGTCGAGAGTATGGGTTTAGGGTTTAGGGTTTAGGGTTTAGGGTTTAGGGTTTAGGGTTTAGGGTTTAGGGTTTAGGGTTTAGGGGACAAGGGAGGCTCCCTGAGCCGCCCCAGCGTGAGGTGATCACCTGGACGGCCGCCTACTTCATCATGGGCCTGCGAGGATGTCCAGGGCCCTCCACGATCCCCTTGGGGGGTGAAGGGTTTAGGGTTTGGGGTTTAGGGTTTAGGGTTTAGGGGAGGGGTTAAGGGATGTTTAGGATTCAGGGCTTCGGGTTGAGGAAGGGTTGGGGGCGGTGATGGTACACTCCCAAAAAATCTTCGCGCATCCTAAAACAAGCCTACTTGTTGAAAGGTCGCTCAAACCGAGGCCACTCACAGCTTTTTTAGCAGCTGCCTTTTGAGTGCCAAGCTTTCGTCCCCATTGGGGACTCGTCAGGGCTTGGACAGCTGAAAATGCTGTATAACGACATGTGCATACACCCCTCAACTCAATGAACAGGATGCATGCACTTCGGATGAAGCTGACAGGTAAAAAATTTTTCAATCCCACCCTCAACCACGCCTACGACTGAAAAATTTCCAAGTTTCCTGGTATCTGCGCCGAAAGAGATTCCGGCTAACAGTCCAACAAGTGCCAACCTGTACATCTGGAAGTCCGCGCTTTAGTAACGCAGAATGTTTGCGAAGCTTGCTTGAAATCCAAGCAGGTGACACATCTTTGTTGTAAGGAATTTTCAAGTGTACCTTCCTCACACTAGGGGCATGCTTCTTCGGACATCGCTGGTACTTGGCAATGATGACATCAAAGCGTTTCAGATCGAAACCTCTGTCTTTCAAACGGCGTTTGAAAAGCTTCAAGCTGGCCAAAGCATCTGCACAGAGACGATTTCGCTTCTGACATCTCAATGCCCCTCCAATCTGCAAGCTCTTGAGAGCGCTTGCGGGATGATTGCTGTGAGCAGGCACATAAAGATAAAGGTTCTGTGGCTTGTGAAAAAGACTCCAGTGGATCCTTCTGTTCGGCAAAATGGTAAGGGCAACATCCAGGAAATGAACATCACCGTGGGCAGATAAGTCAAACCTCAAAGACTCATGCCAAGAGTTCGCCAGTGAAGTCAACAAGCTTACATCTCCAGACCAAAGCAGTAACAAATCGTCAATGAAACGCCTGATCAGTTGCAACTGCTCTCCACCTTGCTGCAGCAAGAAATTGTCAAAGTGCCAGAGGTAGATGTTCGCAAGAATGCTCGCAACCGATAAACCCGTGGGTATCCCATCACGCGATTGGTACCAGCAGCCATCAAAAGAGACAACACAAGCTTCGAGCACGAGCTCAAGAGCCCGAATGATGAACTCACAGAGGCTCTGATTCGACATCCTCTGCCTCACGAATGGAGCAACCAAAGACATCATGTGGCGGCGGCATACCGACGGATAAAGGTTTACCACGTCAAGCGTAACCAGGCACATAGTCGGAAGACAAGTGACATGATCAAGCTGCTGCAAAAGTTGGTCTGTTGATACAATCACTGAACTCAAACTGGACACAAGCGGGCCCAGCTTCTCAACCAGAAAAACTGAAAAAGGTTGGAACCAACAGTGACGAAGGTTGCAAATAGGCCTTGAACCAGTCGGGCACTTGTGCACCTTGACTAGTATGCGAAACGTACCGGCAGCTGTTTGACCAAAACTGCTGAGAAAGAAAAGAATCTCAGCTCTCGAAAGCAGCCCTGAGGCAGCAAAATGATGTAGCATGGCGTCGGCAAATTGCTTGAGTTCTGCCATTTGACGACGTGCAACTGCCGGCGTGACCTGTGTATAACCCTGGGCAAGCTGCAAGTGGACTTGCTCAACAACCCAGGATCTCAAAACCAAGGCATCTCCAAGACCTTTGTCACAGTCAACAATACAAACGAATTCTGCGTGACTTCGCAGCCAACTCTGTGCTTTCCGATCCAACCAAGACTGATTTGACTTGAAAGGCTTGGGCTCAAACTCAGCCAGTTCCCGCAAGGCCAGTCTGACATAGGCGTCGATATGAGGATCACTTGGCGGTTGCCATGCACTTCTCAAACGACACTTGGACATTACAGCTGCATCAGGGTGAGCTGCAAAATGCTTCCGCAAAAGCAGCTGCCTCCGCAACTGACCCAAACCATCAATGACTCTTGGCACGGAAGTTGGCTTGCTAGTGGGAATGAACTTGCCACCTTTGGCAACATGCAAAAGAACGTATTTGGGAACGGTAATCACATCAGCAGGGACCAGGTTGTGAACTCCTTTGTAGACTTGCCTGTGCAGCAAAGCATAAAATCCTGTGCGCAAAGACTGGGCGACACAGAACCTGTAGAAGTCAATGCTGCATCTGTCTTCGTCAAGCCAAAAGGATCGGCCCCTGCGTCGATGGACTATTTTCCCTTTGATTTGCCTTTGGACTTGCCTTTGGACTTGCCTTTGCCAAAGCTTGCTCCTTTGCCCTTGCCTTTGCCTTTCCCTTTACCATTGTCCGACTTCTCCTTCTCAAACCTCACGCGTTTGCTCGAAGTGCTCCTGTGGCTACTTGGCGATCTTGGAGTCCGAGAAGGGGAACGGCTGTTCTTTAGGATCGACCTTGGTGTACTTGGCGTCGGGGATGGCGAACGCGGCTTTCTTCCTCGCCCTTTTGGCGTAGCTTCATGTTTTCTGAAGGCTGCTTGGGAAGAGCTGGCGGATGAAGAAGGGACAATCTTTAGCTTGTGTTTCTGGCAAAGCTCGGCGTTGTCCTTGACAAGAAATGCTAACGCGCTGTCATCCTTGATCTTTGTAGGCCTCTTATGCTTTGCGTCCAGCTGCTTGAGCTCAAACAGAGCTGGAGACAAAACATCCTTCACGTCCATTTCTTCCCATTTGCTTCTGGCTTCCAATAAGGCTTGCTCACGCTTTTGTTGCAGCTCTCTATCCTTGACCATTCGAGACTGAACTTTCGGCCTTTCTGCTCGCAGCAAGCTTTCTACGTACTGCTCTGCGCGAAGCTTTAACGCACCACAAATGTCTGCATCTGCAAAGCTGTGCTGAGCGAACCATGCATCCAACTTGTCAAGAAGTGACTGCTTCAGAGCGGTGCATTCAATCAGGCCATCATAGAGATTGACGCACTTCTCCTGATGCTGCACAATAAACTCGAAACATTCTTTGGCATGTCGTTCGCGCATTGCAGCCCAAGCATCAACCACAGAAAAGGGTGCGTCACTCATGTCATCACCTGCTGTCGGCATGGCTTGGGCAAGGTAGATTTTCGTGAACTGCCATCGGAACTCTGCTTCAGCTTTGAAGTGCGAGTGGAGTTGGCCCTCTTCAACAAGCTTTTTGTACTTCTCAAGCAATTTGGTTTGCGTCTCCCAAGCGCTGAGAAGCTGCCTCACTTCCTTTGTGAAATCATCGAAGATCTTGCGTAAGGCAGGATCCACTCCATCCAGCAAGTCTTGAGGTTGCTGGAACAACTTAGACTTCAAAGCCTCACTGGCAGCCACCTTGTCTTCACGCGACTGCGAAGTCTGCACTTGCGCTTGCAACTCCTTCAATTGGCTCATGAGCAACTGGTTTTGCTGCAACAAGAGCAATTCAACACCGCTAAGTTCACTAGTCGGACTTGGTTGTCGTAACCTTCCGGCTGCTGTGAAGCCAGGCAAACGCGGAGCTGGAGTTCTGGGCGAACCCCGATCTTGGTGAGTGAAGGCTGGATTCCCCATGCTCATAGGCATGCCACCTACAGGTGCACCCATAGCACCTGCAGGCGCTGACCCATCTGCAGAAGGAACCTCCATGGCGAACGCCTAAAGTCTGCAAAGCACTACTTGTTGAAAGGTCGCTCAAACCGAGGCCACTCACAGCTTTTTTAGCAGCTGCCTTTTGAGTGCCAAGCTTTCGTCCCCATTGGGGACTCGTCAGGGCTTGGACAGCTGAAAATGCTGTATAACGACATGTGCATACACCCCTCAACTCAATGAACAGGATGCATGCACTTCGGATGAAGCTGACAGGTAAAAAATTTTTTACCTGTCAGCGAAATCGAAAGTTCAGCCTTTTTTGCCGTGGGTTGGGGCATCTTGAGGGGCCGCTTTAGACTTCGGAAGTGTGGGGCTTGCGCGGCCTTGCCGGAAGGCCCCCCAAAAGGGCCGGAACTCGACTCATAGCCTCGGGCGTTCAGCCCCTAAACCCTAAACCCTAAACCCTAAACCCTAAACCCTAAACCCTAAACCCTAAACACTAAGCCCTAAACCCTAAACCCTAAACCCTAAGCCCTAAGCCCTAAACCCTAAACCCTAAACCCTAAACCCTAAACCCTAAACAGGACAGTTCATGGTTTATGTTCTCGTCTTCTGGGTCACTGGCGTGGCCGCGGCATCCACAGCTGTTCTGGTTGGATGCCTGGCCGCCAACCCCGAGGCCGTGAGTGGAAAACGTCGATAGCCGTGGTGGCCTGCATAGGCCGATTATAAACCCTAAACATCCCTAAACCCTAAACCCTAAACTCTAAACCCTAAACCCTAAACCCTAAACCCTAAACCCTAAACCCTAAACCCTAAACCCTAAACACTTAGTTGTAGAGTAGGCAACCTTTAACCTTTTTGGGGTAATGGAATCCCCTTATCATCCCAGAGGTTAACCTTTAGTTCTCCTAGGTACTGGACAACTAGGTAAACAACCCTAAACATCCCCGAACCCCTAAACCCTAAACCCTAAACCCTAAACCCTAAACCCTAAACCCTAAACCCTAAACCCTAAACCCTAAACCCTAAACCCTAAACCCTAAACCCCAAACCCCAACAACGTCCCTGCGGCCTTGGGCTGTGGAGGTGGCGCAGCAGGCTGCGCCCGCGGTCTTCGTGCCGCAACTGCTCTTCGCCGGCTTCTTCATCACCACGGACTCCTTGCCTTCTTCGGCTTTGGGATTAGGGTGGTTTAGGGTTTAGGGTTTAGGGTTTAGGGTTTAGGGTTTAGGGTTTAGGGTTTAGCTTTTTTGGGATGTTCAACGTTATACTAAGAGTCCTTAGCACCGGTGACGATGGTCTGCACATGGCCGCAGCCTGCTTGGGGTTGGGTGTAGCCTGAGGTGTTTGCTGAATAGGATCATGGTACACCCTATTATAATCCCCAGGAACATCCCAAGATCCTTCCCCAGGAACATCCCAAGATCCGATTGGGGGCGCAATAAGGGTTCGATTTCGCACAGTAGACACTCAGACACTCAGACACTCAGACGCTCAGACACTCAGACACTCAGACACTCAGACACTCAGACACTCAGACACTCGGACGCTCAGACACTCAGACATTCGGACCCTCGGACGTGAGTTGGTCTTGAAGAGTTTGACTGTCTGAGTGTCTGACTGTGTGCCTTCTTGGTCCGCTGTTTCAGACATTCAGACGCGAGCTGGTCTTATTCGGACCCTCGGACGTGAGTTGGTCTTGAAGAGTTTGACTGTCTGAGTGTCTGATTGTCTGCCTTCTTGGTCCGCTAATTCAGACATTCAGACGCGAGCTGGTCTTGAAGATTCTGACAGGGGTCGTTTCCGTGCAGCAGACACTCAGACACTCAGACACTTAGACATTCGGAACCTCGGACGTGAGACAGTGAGAGACATAGGACCTGCAGACGTTCAGCCAGTCAGACACTCAGACACTTTAGGCTACGCAGACACTCAAACACATAATCCAAAAAGCTTATAACTACCCAACTTCAGCGGAAATTCACTTTTCTACGGTACTTGAGTTACTTGGGTACGAGACCCATGAGCACCCAAGTCTCCTCCAAAAGAACATGGCTGACTCTCTGACTGTCTGACTGTCTGACTGTCTGACTGTCTGACCGTCTGACCGTCTGACTGTCTGACCGTCTGACTGTCTGACTGTCTGACTGTCTGACTGTCTGACCGTCTGACCGTCTGACTGTCTGACCGTCTGACTGTCTGACTGTCTGACTGTCTGACTGTCTGACCGTCTGACCGTCTGACTGTCTGACCGTCTGACTGTCTGACTGTCTGACTGTCTGACTGTCTGACCGTCTGACCGTCTGACTGTCTGACCGTCTGACTGTCTGACTGTCTGACTGTCTGACTGTCTGACTGTCTGACTGTCTGACTGTCTGACTGTCTGACAGTCTGACAGTCTGCTTTTCAGTTTGCTCCCCATTTGCACGCTCTGTCCAAGATCCTTTTTTTGCTGCTTTGTCTTGTGAGGTTTCGGGAGGGAGCGCTCATTGCCTTAGTGGCCTTGGCGTTTTGGGTGCCTTTTGGGCGCACCTTGTTGTGAAGCAAGGGTATAGTCGAGCTGGACCGTCGGCCCGGCCGTTAGCCTTAGGGTTTAGGGTTTAGGGTTAGGGTTTAGGGTTTAGGGTTTAGGGTTTAGGGTTTAGGGTTTAGGGTTTAGGGTTTAGGGTTTAGGGTTTAGGGTTTGACGCTGTCATGAAGCCAGGAGCAGATTCCCAGCTGGCTGAGATGGGCGTCGTATCTCTGTGCCCTCAAGTACGGCATGAACTTGAGCCTCGGCACGTGGAGGTGCCCAAGAGGTAAGCCGAGCAGGGTTTAGGGTCTAGGGTTTAGGGTTTAGGGTTTAGGGTTTAGGGTTTAGGGTTTAGGGTTTAGGGTTTAGGGTTTGGGGTTTAGGGTTTAGGGTTTGGGGTGTAGGGTTTAGGGTTTAGGGTTTAGGGTTTAGGCCGGGAAGTCTTGGGCTTTTGGGAGGCTTCTGTTGACTTCATGAGCTCCGGCTCGCCGGGGGCATCACCCTGAACCCTATGAGGGTTTTCTTGGGGTCCTTACTCTAAGGGAATCCCCTATTTGGGGCCCATACTCGGGGTCCCTTATTTCGTCAACCCCCATATGAGTTCTAAGCCGGTTCGATGTGGGGTTCCGCCGAGGAACATCCTGAACGAGTTCGGCCGCGGCCTTGGAAAACCACAACTCACCATATGGTGTGTTCTCTCAATTAGAGGGGCCGCCTGATAGTTTGGATCTGAAAACGGACTGTAATCTGGAGAACTCACAAGATGAATTCGTTTGAGCTTTCTTATCGCTGGCTGCCACTACCGCTGTTTCACCGTGGGACAAGAAGGCCCCCTGGGCCCTAACTGATGTTTTTCAGACACCCAGTGCCAAGTGCAAGAGGGGCCTGCTTTTGAACAACAGAGCTCCATTTGTGATCACACTGCATTCCTGAACCCTAAATGGCCCGAATTCCTGTGGCCCTAAACCCTAAACCCTAAACCCTAAACCCTAAACCCTAAACCCCAAACCCCAAACCCCAAACCCTAAACCCTAAACCCTAAACCCGAAAGCGGATATCGTGATGAACTCAGGCCCGGATGCCATCGCCGAGTGGCCAGATGTTATGATGATGAACCCGGCGACAGGCCTTGTGGGTGGTGGGTGTGGTATGAAAAAGGGGGTTCAGGGTTTGGGGTTTCGGGTTACTTCTTCCCTCCGCTCCCCTCCCCCCACTTCCCCTCCCCCTTCCCCTCCCCTCTTTTGGGGTTTTCTAGTTTCTGACGCTGTATAATTTGTATCAATATTTTGGACATCTTGTCATGTATTATCTTGTCCAACTTTAGGGATGTGGCCTGGAGAAGTTTCGATCGTCACTTTCACACTTGTGTTCTCTATGTCTCCAGGAAGTCTTTTATTGATTGAGATATTTCATCACAACATATTATTTGCTTCACTTTGTGCACATTCTATTTGTCTTCTTTCTGTTAGTTTGCAGATTAAAGAATTCGTATGTTCGCATATTCAATTAAAGATTCGCTTTTTAGTTCTCCTTTGCTAACAGCATGCCATGTCTTTCATCGAATTCTTAGTATGTTGCGCTTGTTTGTCTTATCTTCCTTTCTTGTGCTCACTTATTCGCTTCGTTCATGCATTTCGCTAGTGCACTTAAGATAGGAGAAAAGGCCCTGTAAGTATACCATTGTCGCACACTTGTAATACTTCTATTCATGCGTGCGCTTACAATCAGGTGCGTGCAGGTTTCATGCGTGTCTGGGGTTTAGGAGCGTGTGCTGTAATGAGGTTCACGAAATAAGGGACCCTACTATAAACGCCAGGTAGTAGGATTCTCTTATTACAAGGGCCCCAATAAGTTTCGGAAACCCCCCTAAACCCTAAACCCTAAACCCTAAACCCTAAACCCCAAACCCCAAACTCTAAACCCTAAACCCCATATATTTATGTATGTATGTATGTATGTATGTATGTATATATATATATATCCCAGAGGGCACCTCAGACTTTACTGCTGATCTGGGAACCCACCTGCGGCGCAGGCATGAAGGATGTGCCCATCAAGGCAACCGTCAACGCCGAGTTCGTGGTGAGGAACAGCCTCTTTGTTGCGCTTCATGGGTAAGGGGTTTTCAGGGGCTTTAGGGTTGTAGGGTTCAGGGCTTAAGATCGACTGCATTTCCCCACTACCCAGTAGTGTCAATCCCACTAGCCTCTAGTGGAGACCCCACTACCCGCTAGTGGACCACCAGTTGACACCTTATTACCAGTAATGGAAACCCTACTCTAGTTCACACCCCACTATCCAGCAGTGTAAATCCCATTACCCACTGGTGGAAACCCCACCAAGCTGTGGTGTCGCAATGGATGAGCTTCAAGATTGGTTTCGTCAGAAAGTATGTCGGCCGACAGATTTCATGCGGTCAAGTAGTACCATGTGTGTCAGGATGTAGCAACACTCAGATCGTTGTCGGGATTCTGATCAGGGCTTCTCCGAAGCGAGTTCCTACGTGCTCTCATCGAAACGGTTCTTGGGGCCAGGATTTCGCCTGCCAGTCAGATCGGCATGCATCGGCTAAAAGTATCCTCAGTGCCCGCTAGAAGGGGTAGGTTCTTAGGGGCTGATCTGAGGTTGGGTATGGGTTTCGACAGACAGCTGATGTTCCTTCCTCAAGTTTTCAAGAGCTTGGAGGTTCGTGGGTAGTTATAAGTGGGGTTAGAAGTAGGGCAACTATGAATATAACTGGCTTCAACCTTACTTAAGGGTACTTATCACCCTACTTCCAACTACCCATGAACCTTCAAGTGCCCTTGAGCCAGTTGCCATACTAGTGAAAACAAGGAGTTCTTGTGAGCCCTCGGTGAGGCATCGACCCCAACCACGTCTGGGTCTATGTCGGCAGCTTCCCTTCGATTACGGTGGGCTTCTACTGCGGCAGGCTTTTGAGAGGAGCGATGCTTGTTGAGAGTCGAACGGCAGAGTCTGCAAGAGCATCCCTTGCACAAAAAGACTTCGTTGCCAACCTTCCAGTTCAGGGCGCCACCCCAGCTCGCGCCCCTGAACCCATAGTCCTCTTCTTGATCTCCAAACCAAGCCAGAACCACACATCACTTAGGCATCCTTCTGGCCATCATTGTGATCGTGCGGGCGCTTTCCATTCTGGCACTCGCGCGCCGCGCGGCCTCCTTCTTCTAGGCCCTACCGTCTAGAAGGAAGAGGAGGCGCCAGAGGGCGCTCTTTTCAGCCCTTCTAAGGAGAAGGGGAGTCCTTCGAGGGTTTTTCGCGGGCCGAGGGCGGCGTTCAGTAGATTGCCCATGGAACCAGGTCTCTCGCGGGGCGTGGGCGGTGCCCCTGAGCCCACTAACCCGTCTCTGTGAGAGACCTGGTAACCATTATCAGTTGCCGAGAGTATCAGAAATATCAGAAGCAAGTAGCATGTCAAAGGGATAGAAAGAGTCTACAGCCTCGGAGGAATGCATTGTGCTTCCATGAAGCCTAGGCTTTGAAAGTTTTCTAGGCCGCAGAACTTCGAGACCTTCCGGCTCAATCCCGAGCCTCCCAAAGACTGCGACGGCTCAGCGGCAGGGGTGTCGGGTCGCCCCACGAATCCCCAAGTCTCCCAGATTAAGTTGCAGATCGCACACCAAGGGGGCATAGAACAATTCTTCCTGCCCCCGGGTTTAGGATTTAGGGTTTAGGGTTTAGGGCCGCCTGCCTGAGGAGGAGGGATTCTTTTTTTGCTTTGGAACATAGGGCTGTCGAGTTACCAGCCTCTGCTTCGGAGCTCTCCCTTCTGACATCTAGCCTAAGTTGTGTCTTCGCTCGGCGGGGGTAGGGGTGTTTCGAATGGGCTCGCGGGCTAAGATGTGCAGTTTTTTAACCCTAAACCCTAAACCCTAGACCCTAGACCCTAGACCCTAGACCCTAAACCCTAAACCTTAAACCATAACAAATGAACTCCACTTGAAGGCTCATGAGCATTCGTAGTTCGACATAGCCTGCCTGGATTTGGGGATGCGTTTGATACCCGCGAGCACTATGAGCCTAAAGTCCCAAACCGCCAAATTTCGCATGTCCGAGGCCTATCTACTATGACCCTCATTTCGGACCCCCCCCGTGGCCCAAAAGGGTACAACCCTGTCGGGACCACCCCCCCCCCCCAAACAGAAAGTTTAAAGGGCTCCGAAGCAGGGAACGCGGAGGGAGTTCGGCATGGCTCTAGGTCGTGGCCATTCAGTCCTCTTTGCCTGCCTTTGCGGCGTGACGGACAAAGTTCGCACCCCGTGGCACACGGTACCACGCAGCAACGTGAAGAAAGGGCTGGTTGGGGGAGTTGCTTGGAGGTTCATGGGTAGTTATAAGTGGGGTTATAAGTAGGGCAACTATACTTAACCCCTTTCTTGGGTTGCTTAGAACACTACTTATAACTACCCACGAACCTTCAAGTAGGGGGTTTAGGGTTTGGGGGCTGGGAGTCGAGGAGTTTTCGGATTTCAGTTCGGTTTTGCCTACTGCTTGCAAGCATGCGGGTTGGGGGTTGTTTTTGAAAAGGGTTTTTGTGCCTTTTTGGTGCACCCCGGTCATGCTGTTCTGATGCACTGGCCTGCTTAAGAGTTGTTCAGGCGGAGTATTTGGGGCTGAAAGGCTTTCCAAAAGCCCAGGATGGGCTGTCAATGCCACAAGTGGGCCGTGCTGGGTTCCGCGACGACGGCAAATGGCGTGTACGGCGGCGGTAAACCCTGAGCCTCATGAGCAAATGAGTTCCATGAGCGGCTCTTGACGGCACGTGCCAGCCCAAAGAAGAACATGAAACCAGACAGTTTGGAGCCTCCTGGCGGAAGAAGAGACATGGAACCTGCCGCCCAAAACCTAGGTAAGAAACACATCTCGATGCCCCGCGGGGCAAGCAATTTTTGAAGACCGTCGCTTGGGCCCCTTGAGGGTTTAGGGTTTTGGGCTCATGGTTTTGTGAACCTTTTGCCACCAAGGCAGCACTCTGGAAGCCGACACTTTTTCCCACTTGGGTAATTCTGAAAAGTGGTTGGCGGTTCAATGTTTAAGGCTTAGGGGTTCAGGGAGTTTTTTTTGGGCGGGGTTTTGTGACAGAAGACAGGGCACCCTGTATCAGAAGTAGCGCGTAGTCATTGTGTAGCATTGACAGCTAACAGAACACCAAAGATCCCATCAAATCGCCATCTCATATCGACCCCAACATCCGACAACATCCCACAAAGCTTTGTGGCTCCAGACCAGTAGTGCGCAACATGCTGAAAACCCACCTTCGCAGTCAACAGAGGTGTTGCGCGTTCACAGATTCACGAAGAATCTTCATTCTGAACTTCAACCATCAAAACCCTGAACCCTAAACCCTAAACCCTAGACCCTAAACCCTAAACCCTAAACATCCCTAAACCCTAAACCCTCGGCCCGTGATAGCATCTGTGCAAGCCCGCCCGCCCCTTAAAAATCACCCCCGCGCCGGCCATGTTCCTCGCCGCTGTGAGGCTGCTCCCTGCTTTCTTGTTGGCAGCCTGCGGGCGCAGTTCCTTCACCGCCTTCGCCCAGGAGCATGCGGGCCTCGGAAGCCTGCTGCATGGTGCCCAGGGCCTGAGTCCCCACGCCCAGACAGCCCGACGGCTCCAGCTGGCTGCCATGGCTACGCAATGCCTGGGTAAGTGCAAGGGCCTTGGGGCCTTGTACGTTGACATGCTGCCATACATGTCGACTCCCGAGCCTGGGGCGAGCTTAGGGTTGGGTGATCTCCTCGGGAGCGGCATGCAGTCGATGCTCGGAGGATCGATGGGAGCAGTGTTTGGCACCGTCTGCGCACACTCGGCCACCCTTTCGTGCATGAGGACAGAGTGCGTCCCACCCGATGGAGGCTTATCCAGGGGAATCGAGACGGCGCTCAGCGAGGCGCCCTGCCTTTGCGAAGCCTGCCCCCAGTTCATGACGGCCGTCGCAGACATGCAATCGCTCTCCGCGAGCCTGGGAAATGTCAGCCAGGTGGGGGGCCTCCCCGAACCCGGAGAGCTTAGTAGTGCCCCTCACGTAGGTCAAGGAATGATATTCCATTGTTTGCCTGAAAGAAGCAGTAGGGCTTGGGGTCTAGTTTAGGTATCCTTATTTTAGTTTGGTGCTGGGCTCCCGCGGGGATCTCAATTATGCTTCCGCATCTTTTTTGGTTCTACCTGCTGCCCTCGTATCAGAGAGAGTGGGATGTCCTGGCACTAAGCTTAAACATTCGGGCGAAGCCGAAGGGGTCGACTGAGTACCTGAGCATTCTGTGCCCGATGATTGGCCCCGTGGAGTGCGCCACGAACAGCACACAGTGTGCCTCAAATGCAGCCAGCAGAAACCCTTAACCCTAAGCCCTAAGCCCTAAACCCTGAACCCTGAACCCTAAGCCCTAACCCCTAAACCCTGAACCCTAAACCCTAAACCCTAACCCCTAACCCCTAAACCCTAAACCCTAAAAGCGGGTCGAGTCGTTGAGAACTTCGGAGACTATTATGAGTTTTATTATTATTATTATCATTATTACTATTGTTCTTCTTCTTCTTATTATTATTACTATTATTATTATTATTTTAGTATGGGCTCAGGGTTTAAGTTTTTGTTTCGCGCTTGGGGAGGGCTGCCTTTCTTTGGGGGGTCCATTTGCTTTTGTTGGATAGCAACGCTTCCTGTCCCCCTCACCCCCACCCCAGCCCACCCCACCCCCACCGCCTCACCCCTCCTCCCCCGCACCTCTGTATAAGACATCGCCACGCCTGGAACAAATCTCCGCCACACACCTCCCGACACCGCAGAACTGGCTGCAGGCACGGCGTTTTCCTCTGCGATGTCGGGTCACGCGCGGGGGACTTGATCTCGGCTTGACATCATTTCTGTTGGCCCCAGTCCGGCACCCGCGGTAGCATTGATCTCTATAGGGATGCAGGCACCCAGAGCGCCTCCGCAGGCTGTAGGTTCGGAGACCTTTGAGTGACGGAGAGTCGCCCGAAAGCATCAGCAAGAGCCCGAAAACTTGACTGTCCTCCCGAGTGGCTTGTGCGTTCGCACGCAAGAGCTCTGTGGAGCGCGCGCGCTGCGTAGGCCGGCCTCAGGCTGAGCCCGAAACCTCGCAACATGTGGCGTGTTGAGGTCAGGCATCATTGAGATGAAGTCGGCGTGCGAGTCGGCCGGCCCTTTTGGCCAGCACAAGAGAGTTAGAGGAGCTTTTGGGGTTTGGTTACTTCGTGTCTTGCCCGGTTCTTGTCCGAGTCTTGGGGCTAGGAAGCCTTCCTTGTTGAAAATCGAAGCTTCTCGCTGCTGGAAAGTTCAGGCATCACTTGGGCTCAGGAAGGTGTGGCTCCATGTGCATGTCTCTGCAGGGCACACCACTGCACATGCTTTCCTATGGCTTTTTCTGAGGCACGCCGACGCAGCAGCTTGGTCTTTAGCAGAGGTCTTTGGAGGGTGGGTTCTGGTGGCATCTGATGCCGTGACGCCGGTTACCATATTGTGACGTAGCTCCTCGAAACTTACTCCCAGCTGCAGGGGCCCGAATTCAGGAACCCACAGGCCCAAAGCCGCCAGCTTCAAAGCTCAGCCCCCGCGGATCAAGCCCTCAACCCGCGCCACTTCAGGGCGGCTTCAGCAGCTTTCCGCGCCCCCAAAGCCCCGCCTCAAGACCCTGCCTCCCATGTTTCAGCCAAAGTCCCAGGCCAACTGAGAGAAGCCCCAGCGAAGTCTCCGGCGCCCTGGTGGCCTGCGCAGGTGCAGAAGCGGCAGTTTGGAGGGCCCTTCAAGGGCACCCGCCCTTACATCCAAGGCCCAAAAAGCCCCCCAAAATTTGGCCCTTCCGCTGACCCGAAGCTTCCGAGCCCGAACCGGCCCCTCCCAAAAGAAGCGCTCAGGGGCTGGATCCCTGCTTGCCGGCCTCCTGTGGAGCTGAGTCCCGAACTTTTTGAGACCAAGGCCGCACCAGGATGCTTCAGACCCCACTGTGGGTTTTTCGAGCATCCCGGGCGCGCATGCGGCAGAGTGTCCGTCTTCGGTGGGTGGCGACCCACACTCAGCAGCCCCGAAGGGGCCGGGTCGTGGGCTTCGCCGCTGCGCCCGCGAGACCGTCCTAGCGTGCGCCAAGAGCCGCTGCAGTGGAAACGACCGTGCTGCGCCTGTTGCCCGGAGCAGTTGCACGTGACCAGTCCGTATGATCCTGCGCCTTGAGCTCCAGAGAGGCAGAGAACCTACGCGAGCCCCATCCTCTCTAGTAGGGGGCTTGCGAACATATGGGACTCCTGGTATAGACTCATAGACCCCCAAATGGTAGGATTGATTCTCTTATGACAAGGACCCCCATGAAGTTGCCCTAATGTCGGAAACCCCCTATGACTCTCAGGCTCATGAGTTCATCGTGCCGGGCCCAGCAGGGGTTTCGGGGGTTTGGGGTCTTTAGGGTTCAGGATTTAGGGTTTAGGGTTGGGTGACCTCTTCCGTCGCCGGACCATGGGGTTTTGGTTTTAGGCATGGGATAGAAGTTTAGGGTTTAGGGTTTAGGGTTTAGGGTTTAGGATTTAGGATTTGGGGGTTTGGGTGCCTAGAGTTCCTAGACCCTTGGACATACTGAATCCGCCGTGATCCAGCCATCACCGAACTCCTTGGATTGTTTACTACCCTCAACCCTACACCCCTTACTGAAAGTTCAGTCTATTCTTGAGTCAAACACCTGGAACTCCCGAAAGACCCTTTGAACTCCAAACCCGAAGCCAAAGCAGCCAAGGTGGCCCAGGGCACCCGCGTCATCGAGCGAGGGGCGAAGAGTCTCACGCCGCGGCAGACGCATCGGCATGGTTACATGTTGAGGTAGGAGCATGATGAAGGGCCTTTGAGGGTTCGGCATACGCGGTGTAAGTCTGCCTCCCAAGCTTCAGGAAGTAGGGGCTTTTGGATGGTTTTGGTATAGGGTTCCAATTTGCGGATCTTTGCGGTGCATGTCTTGAAACCCTAAACCCTAGGCCCTGAGCCCTAAACCCCAAACTTCGTGCTTAAGGGGCTCTGAGAGGCCTTCGCGGGCTCGCGGGGGCTTTTGCATTGGAGGGTGAGGGAGCGAGGTCGGTGTAAGGGCTCCCTTCTGAAGGCTTTTGAAGGTTTTGAAGGTCCCTATTTAGGTGATTTGGAGATTTTGGGTCCGGTTTACTCCCCACCCGTACACCCCAGAGGTCCCTTATGTTTTCAGGGTTAGGCTAGGTTGGGGGCTGGGCTCAAGGTTTAAGAGATTACGCCTTTGCAGCTTGAAAAGTTCATAAAAGCTCAATGTAGCCGAAGCCACAAGCGTTGGTGGCTTTCGGCCATCAGCTGATCCCAACAGAAACGATGTCGGGTGGGCCTGCTATCAGGGTTATGAGTGCTCCCGAAGGACGAGAGCCACGTGTATGTGGGGGCAAGCTGCCCACGGGAATTTGCCCTGAGCCCTCAAGCATGGCAGGTTCGCCTCTGCAGCCCGCGGCGTTGTGACCTTGCAGGAAGCAGCTGTTTGCGGGTGGGTTTTGCGTCTAAAGCCTGAGTTGTATATCCAAGACCCGGCAACCCATGCACCTAACCCAGAACAGCCTTCGCATGCGAAATGGAGGCGTGAGATTTTTGCTCACCTGCTGTGAAGCCTGAACCGTGCCCCGTCGACGTCTGTATATGAAATCGCTTGTGCAGCCGGGACAGTTCTCTCTCTTGTAGCGGCTTATGTGCTCTACTCGGATCTCCGCTCAGCGTGTCGTCGTGCTCCGCACGGAGCAGGAGAGGCCTACGAAGCTGCCCGCTACCCCTTTCAACTTGCAATGCGGTTTTCGCATTTGTTGGCAGGCAGCACGCACGCATCGCAACACTCGAACATCTTCCGACGCTCAAGCCGCCAAAACCCCCACCCAGCTCGAAGGCATATGCGGGGCATGTGAAGCAGTAAGCAGGGTGCAATTGGAGGGACCTTCCATGGTGACTTCTGCTGAGAGCGCCCCAAATGACATCTCCTGGTCCAAGTTGTTGGGAATCAGGGCAAGGGGTGGGCTGGTGGTTAAAGGGTAATCTTTTAGCTGAGAGTTTCACTAGGGACTCTACCGCTGTCATGCGAGGTCCTAGGGCTCTTTGAGGCAAGGAGTTTAGGGTTTGGTATCTGGGATATCCCTACAGCAGTGAATGGGACCCCCCTGAACGCAGAAACATACCCCAACGCTGTAAGCCTTCCAGGCCTCCGGCAGTCCCTATGCCGTGCAGCAGGCGAGGGCCTCATCGTGGATCCTAGTTGGAGAGACGCAGGTTTATGAAATGCATACCTAACCCACAAAGGTTAGGGTTTAGGGTTGAGGGTTTAAGGTGTAGGGTTTAGGGTTTTAGGGTTTAGGGCAACAAATCCTAAGCCCAATGACGACGCTGTCACGATTGGTGACCTCGAACCTCCCAGCCTCAATGATCTCTCCAAGCATGTTTGCCCGAATTGGGCAAGGCCGCCAACTTCAAACCTAAACACACACACACACACACACACACACACATGTATAGAAACTTGGGGTAAGGGCCATCTCCTCCACAAACCTGAGATGCAATTTCGAATGCGCATCTTTGATTGTGAAGGCCGGCGTGGTTCTTCGGAGCCTCTGGCAGAAGGCACTGATCGCTTGTGTAGGGCGTCTGGGCTGAAGATGCCAGGAACCTTGCAGGAAGCAGCCTCTTGCAACGTGGGGTCCTTTGCCCGCCTCGAAGTCCTCGACGTTGCCAAGCCCTGTAGAGCTCCATGCTCTTCCAAAACCCCCAACAAGGCCAAACCGAATCCCGAAGCTAGGACTCTCTGTGCCCTAAACTGCCCTAAATTTTACCCTAAATCTCAGGATCCAAGCCCCAAGCCCCAAGCCCTGCATAAACTCGGAGCCTCAAAAGCCCTGAGTCCAATCCTCCCAAATTAGAGTCCTTATCAGGGTTTAGGGTTGAGGGTTGTTGTTGTTTTCTTGTTCTTAGATGCGCTGCCATTCAAAGCATAGCTGTCAGTGAGGATGATCCTCTTGTGATTGTTGCTTTGATTCTGGCCGTCAAACCCGAAACCCTAAGCCCTAAACCTTAAACTCCGAACCCCAAACCCTAAACCCTAAACCCTCGGAAAGGTGGCGGCGCGCTTGCACCTCTTCGGACCGCAGGAGCTGAGCGACCCGCGCTCGGACCATCGGAGCTTTCAGGTTCGAGGCAGGGTTTAGGGTTTAGGGTTTAGGGTTTAGGGGTTAGGGTTTAGGGTTTAGGGTTTAGGGTTCAGGGTTTAGGGTTTCGGGGGTCTACCACTGCAGCACTCCGATGGCAAGTTTCGCTGACCAATCTGATGGGTCTCATGATTCTCGAGCCTGCCCATGTGCGTGACCCAGCTTCGGGTTTCAGGTTTTTTGTTTTTTTTCCTGAAGGCCTAAGCCCTAAACCCTAATCCCTGAACCCTGAACCCTAAACCCTAAACCCTAAACCCTAAACCCTAAACCCTCAGGCCACAACCCCGCGGCTCTTTAGGGGCCACAAGGGTGGGCAGGATCCTGGCCCCGCAGTGTGCGCCCTACATGGGGTCATGGATCCATCTACCTTCGTAGGGATTGCAGTAGTATAGTTTAGGGTTTAGGGTTTAGGGTTTAGGGTTTAGGGTTTAGGGTTTAGAGTTTAGGGTTCAGGGTTTAGGGAGGGTAATACGACCCCAACTAGGGTCCTCATGTTGTGAACATGCCGGTTGATGGGCCCGCGCGCCCTCGACTTTCTGCACGCCCTGGCTCCTCAGCCCCCAAGCTTTGTGCACGAGCCGCGAGCTCGTCCAGGCTCCGAATCCATGTCGGTTGGCTGCGCTCGACAAGCAGCTGGACATGGCTCAGCAGCCTCTGTTGCAGATGGACGGGATGTAGCGACACATGTCTGCCGGGTTGGGGTGAACATGCTGCGTCCCTTCCTGCTTTCAGCACTGCTCGCGGTCTACCTGTCCCAAGCCAACAAGCGAACAGGGGAGGAGAGACGGAGGGAACCCTCGGCGCTCCAATGTGCTGAAACATCTCAAATCCTTAAGCCCTTGAAGCTCCCTACCCCCTAAACCCGAAACCCCAAACCCCTAATCTCAAATCCTTAAGCCCTTGAAGCTCTATGCCCCCTAAGCCCCAAACCCCTAAACTTCCTAAACCCCAATCCCGAAAACCCTGAAGCCTAAACCCGCCCAACGCAAGGCACTCGCTGTGCATCGTGGGAGCTGGCCCTGCTGGCCTGCAGCCCTTTGGTGCAGGGCTTTTCTTGGAGGTTTAGGGTTTAGGGTTTAGGGTTTAGGGTTTAGGGCTTAGGGGTTAGGGGTTAGGGGTTAGGGTTTAGGGGTTAAGGTTGAGGGTTTAGGGTCCCTGTGGGGATTTAGGGGTTTAGGGTTATAAAGGCTTAGCTTGGGATGTTCCCCCTCATACTAACAGCTCCTTAATAGGGATTATAGGATGGGGCATTATAACCCCTATTAAGGAATGTTAGTCTAAGGGGGGAACATCCCAAGTTATATAAGGCTTAGAGTTCAGAGTAGTGTGAGCTTGGTTTTTTTTCGAGGCTTAGACTAACTAGAAGGAGTCCGAGACGGCTCCCAAAGTCCTTCTGCTGAACCCCAAAGATCCTAGGCGTCTTAGTGGGGAACTAGGGAATTAGGTGCCCCACCCCTCCCGCCCCTGCTTTTAGAAGACCCCTTTAATGAACAAAAATCTTCCTCTGCATTCTAGACCCTTCAATCCATGAACCGCAGACCCCGCCCTAAACCCTCTGAAGCCCCAAAACCCCTGAAACCCTGAAGCCCTAAAGCCCTAAAGCCCTAAAGCCCAAAGCCCTAAAGCCCTAAAGCCCTAGAGCCCTAGAGCCCTAAACCGAAAACCCTAAACCCCCCAGACCCCAGACCCCAGACACCGACTCCCCCAGCACCACCGAGGCTTGGCCACCTCCTGGAGAAGGACCCGAGGGCTGCTTTAAGGCTTTTGGGGGTTCTAGGGTCGGGTTTAGGGTTTAGGGTTTAGGGTTCAGGGTTTAGGGTTTAGGGCTATTGGGGGTTCCGGGGTCGGGTTTTCAGGGCTTCAGGGTTTAGGGTTTAGGGTCTTAATGAGTTGCATTGGGGTTCTGGGGTGGGTAGGGTTTTCAGGGTTTCAGGGTTTCAGGGTCTCGGGTCTGAATGAGGTGCAGAAGCAGGAGCCGCCGCGCAGTGCTTCCAAGGTCTTTGTAAGATGAGCGCCCGGTTTGAAGTGACTTCGTTCGCCATGGAAACACGAAGTTGAAGTGGTGGTTCGTCAGTCATGCCCAAAAAGCATCTATCCATCGGGGGGGGGGGGGGAGGGGTGGAGATTATGGTTGTAGAGGGAGGGTGGGGGGGGGTCTAGTGGCAACGGAAACCCCAACTAGCAACGCAAGGTCCCAAGCTGAAGGGCTTTGGGTCGCCGCCAGGACGCCTCGCAACCGGGCGATTTTGCCACCCGCCAGCAAAGAACATGGGGCATTCGGGTGGTCGGAGGGGCATGTCTTGGAGCGAGTCAGCAGGCAGTGCGCTCCGAGCCCTTGTCAGATGGCAGCTGCCACTTGAATCGACCTTAGCCGTTACTGGGTCCTCCAGTGACTGATTCCCTTTTTGAGGTCCTGAAAGTAAGCTTCATGGATACCCCAATGAGGGCCCCAATGAGGGTGCACAGATGAGCATTGATCTAAAGGTCCGTGTGGGAAGTTTAGTAAGCCGTGACCCACACAACATGAAGATATGCCTCCCCGAAAGATCCGCGACGGCACGGCGAAAGTTTGTTTTTTCGCGAAAGGTTCTTACGTAACCCAGATTCTGTCCTACGATTCCAGCAGTTTCCAGGCTTTCAGCTACCTGCTAGACTCCCCATCCGAAATCCGCGGCTTGAAGCATCTGAGTATCCAAATTCGGGATGCGTTCATCCTGCTCAACTCGCAAACAAAAGAAGTCTTCGGGGCAAGGATGTTTCGCGCGAAGGATCTGCGCGCCAGTCGCGCGTAAGTCAAGGCGGCCATTCCAGGGACAATTGTCATCTCAGACATTCTTAGACGTTCCGGACCTATGGCGGGTTCTAGATAGGTCTACAGGTTTTAGCTTCACGGTTCAGAGCTTAGCCCAGCGTCTGGGCCTTGTTTTTTTCCGGGACCCATATCTTAGACATGGCACCAGTCACATTGCAGGAATTGCAAGTTATCTCATCTCCCCGTACCTAAGCGGTTTCGGGCCCACAGGCTTCGGATGCTCAAAGCGTTTCAGAGGTTTGGGTAGGGTTCGAGGGTCGGTTTCAGGGCTCAACCCCCGGAGTCCCGACTTCGAGCTCCCGTGAGCTTTAGAGGTTTAGGGCTAGGCTTTAGGGTTTTTTATGAACCCTACACCTGAGGCCTGAGCCCAACGCGCAAGTAAGGTGATCTTCGAGAAGGCCGACACTCCTGGCAATTTCTTCAGACGTTTCCCAGTTCACCGGATGTTGATCAGCATCTGGGCCGCACCCGTGTTAGATGGGGCCAGTCGGTTCTACTTTTTTATAGGGAGACCCAGCCTGAGTTAGAAACCCTAAACCCTAAACCCTAAACCCTAAACCCCCTAATTCCAATCCTGAGCCCTGAAGCCCAAACTGCTTGCACTGTGCGCATCCTTTGGAGGCCCAAGGATTCGAAGAGCAAAGCCCCTTGATTTTTCATTTGTGGATCGGTGGACCCTAGAAGCCTCGAGCCCCAAGGCCTTAAGACTCTCAAACCCCCTTAAGACCCTAAACCCTTAAGACCCTAAACCCTACACCCTTAAGAAAGAGAGCTGTCTAAGGCTTGAACAAGAGACACACGCGCAGCCAAAGCGCCGAGTTCCGCATGCGGCATGACTGGAACTCCCTGATCGGAACAGGAGCGCTACACCGTGCGAGGGACTTGAAGGTTTAGGGTTCAGGGTTTAGGGTTTAGGGTTTAGGGTTTATGGTTCAGGGTTTACGGTTTAGGGCTGTGCTCAGGGTTGCGTCGCAAGTTGTGTTTTAGTAGCTGCCGGGTGCAGAAAGGAGCTTTTGCTCAAATGAAAGTTGATTTTTTGTTTGGGCCAAGTACTGGATACGCACTCTAAAGTGTACACGCCTAAGGGAAGGAATCTGGTTCCCAAACCGGCAGCCGACTCATGAGCCGTAACCATCCCACAAGAAAGTGTAGCAAAGACGGTGTTAACGGCTTTGGGGTTCTTTGGGACTTTCGGGTCTGGGGCCATAATTATCTCTAAATCCTAGACTTTGGAAGGTCCGTCACGCAGCTAGATGCCCCAGTGCTTGGTGTTTGCCCCCAATCCCTACACTGGGTTTAGGGTTTAGGGATGAGGGTTTCGAGGGTTTAGGGTTTAGGGTTTAGGGTTTAGGGTTTAGGGTTTAGGGGTTTAGGTCGAAGTTCTGTAGACCTGCAGGCGATGTGGGGATTTCTCCTGTTACGGCGCCATGGCTGCACATGGCTGTGCCTCCTTTCAGAGGTGCCCCAGTCTAGGACACTTTGTACTTGGAGGTTGACGGGTAGACATAAGTGGGGCTATAAGTAGGGTAGCTATACTTATATCCTTACTTCAGGTACTTCTACACCTACTTACAACTACCCTTGAACCTCCAAGTAGCCCTTGGATCCACCAAGCTGGTCCAAGGCCAGAACAACTGAGCTTTATCCACATGCAGACGTCGTAGCGACGCTGCTTGGTGCAAGGGAGCCGATCTTGCGTTTTTCGAGAACCCTTTTTGCCGGGACCACCGACGGGACCTCGATGTTTGTACTGGAAATTCCCATCTTGTCCCTAACTGCGTGCGGTATCCGGCTCCCTCTTCACTTCACAACCTTCTGTTGCCTTTTGGCCCGTATCTTCTTGACGGGGTAGAGCATGAGGTTCAGCTTTGGGGCTCCGTCCCAATATGCTGACGATGGAGCTTAGGTACTTGGAGGACTTCGGATACCACTTGCAGAAGAAGATCCTGTACAACAGCGAGGCCAGGGACTGTTCAACCTGGACACCCCGCATTGTCCCCCACTTGGCCCTTCACGCGGGGACTGGGGGCATAAACTTGGGGTACCCATACACACAGTGGAGGACATTTGACACATATGGGGGTTTACAAAAAATAGGGCGCCCGAATTTTGACCCGCAAAGAGCAGGATCCTCTTATCAGGAAGGAGGTGTGTGGCGTCCCACCGGTTTCGCGGCAGCCGCCATACCTGAGCAATTTGTACTCGCCCTGGGCTCTGCCATGCTCACCTAGAGCCCAGCATCCCGCATCCTCGGCCCCTAAACCCGAAACCCTAAACCCTAAACCCTAAACCCTAAACCCTAAACCCTAAACCCTAAACCCTAAACCCTAAACCCCAAACCCTAAACCCTAAACCCGAAACCCCAAACCCTTACATCCTAAGCCTTGAATGGCGGCAGGTCCTCCGGGTTCTGCCGAGCAGTGGGCACTTCGACCTGGACCGCGGGAGAGGGCGCAAGTTTTTAAGGGTATCAGGAGGGGCCCCCTGGAAGGGACCCCTGAATCTGACTCCCCTCTACAACTCCCTATGTATACCCTGTAGAGTCCCTAGCCCCTAAACAGCCCCTAAATGAACCCCAAGGTCCCTTCTGTCTCTTGAGAGAGAGAGAGAGAGAGAGAGAGAGAGACAGAAGAGAGACACAGACCCACTTGGCCGTCGCGTCCGGGTCTCCTCCGCTGGGGGGGGGTGCCCTCAAGTGCGAAGAAGAAGAAGAGGAAGAAGAATCAGCAGAAGAAGAAAAAGAAGGAGAGAGAGAGAGAGAGAGATGGGTCTCTCTGTCTTCACCGTTTTGTTTAAAACTATAAGGGTTCAGGGTTTAGCGTATAGGGTTCAGGGTTTAGGGTTTAGGGTTTAGGGTAGAGAGACTCCAGCTCCCACTCAGGCTCATAACAGTCCCCCCTAAAAGAGGGTTCAGCTGGGAACCTGAAACAGGGGTTGGCACTTTGCCAAGGGCCGAACCTGCTGGCCACACAAAAGAAAGAAAGAAGCAGAAACAAAGAAAGGAAAATTAAAGAAACAAAGAAAGAAAGAAAGAAAGAAAGAAAGGAAGAAAGGAAGGAAGGAAGAGAGAGAGAGAAGCAAAGAAGAATCGTGCAGAAGAAGAACCAGCAGAATAGAAAGAAGAACAAGAATAATAAGAATAATAAGACGAAGAAGAATAAGAATAAGAAGAACAGGAATAGCAAAACAGAGTAAGACTGCTTGAAGGAAGGAAGAGAGAAATTGAGGGATTGCGGGAGTACTTCAGCAAGACGCGGTTTCTCTCCACAGTGTAGCTCCCTAGTTTCGGTTGCGCAGGTTCGTGCAGGACCGGGACATCACCAGATCCAATGCGAGCAGCTGGGGCAATGAGATCCGGGAGATATTGTGGAGGGACTTTCTGGCATCAACCAAGGCAGCGCGTGCTGTTACCCAGCAAGCAACGCTGAAGGTCCTACGTGTGGTGTCAACTCTTTGGCACCGCACCTATGACCTTCAGCGTTGTTTCAGCTTCCTGCTGCCTATGCTCGGACAGAGGGCCCAGTGAGCGGACAGTGTCTGCTTGCTTGGACCTCTGTCCGAGCATAGGCAGCTGGAAGCGGACAGCTGCAACTCGGAGAAGCTTCAGCAAGACGCGGTTTTTCTTCACAGTGTAGCTCCCTACAGGGGCATCACCAAATCCAATGCGAGCAGCTGGGGCAATGAGGTCTGGGAGATATTGTGGAGGGACTTTCTGGCATCAGCCACGGTAGCGATGTTTCCGGGCCAGCCAGCGTCTTGGCTCCGCGTTCGGCTTGGCCTCCTCAGTGTGCCGGCTTGGTCTTTTGAAACTTAAGGCTCGTTCAGCAGCCTCGGCCTTGTGTCAAATGCTGCAATGACGTCTTTATGCTGTGAGCTGTGTTAAAACACCGATTCACCGCCCGCCCTGTGTGTGCAACTACTGGAGGCTCAGACTTAGCGCAGCACTTGTCTGCAACATGTTGTCTAAACATGTTTCGCTGTACAGAATGCGGTAAACCTACTAAGGTCGGACTTCTGAAACAACGCTGAAGGTCCTACGTGTGGTGTCAACTCTTTGGCGCCGCACCTATGACCTTCAGCGTTGTTTGAGCTTCCTGCTGCCTATGCTCGGACAGAGGGCCCAGCGAGCGGACAGTGTCTGCTTGCTTGGACCTCTGTCCGAGCATAGGCAGCTGGAAGCGGACAGCTGCAACTCGGAGGAGAAGCTTCAGCAAGACGCGGTTTTTCTTCACAGTGTAGCTCCCTACAGGGGCATCACCAAATCCAATGCGAGCAGCTGGGGCAATGAGGTCTGGGAGATATTGTGGAGGGACTTTCTGGCATCAGCCACGGTAGCGATGTTTCCGGGCCAGCCAGCGTCTTGGCTCCGCGTTCGGCTTGGCCTCCTCAGTGTGCCGGCTTGGTCTTTTGAAACTTAAGGCTCGTTCAGCAGCCTCGGCCTTGTGTCAAATGCTGCAATGACGTCTTTATGCTGTGAGCTGTGTTAAAACACCGATTCACCGCCCGCCCTGTGTGTGCAACTACTGGAGGCTCAGACTTAGCGCAGCACTTGTCTGCAACATGTTGTCTAAACATGTTTCGCTGTACAGAATGCGGTAAACCTACTAAGGTCGGACTTCTGAAACAACGCTGAAGGTCCTACGTGTGGTGTCAACTCTTTGGCGCCGCACCTATGACCTTCAGCGTTGTTTGAGCTTCCTGCTGCCTATGCTCGGACAGAGGGCCCAGCGAGCGGACAGTGTCTGCTTGCTTGGACCTCTGTCCGAGCATAGGCAGCTGGAAGCGGACAGCTGCAACTCGGAGGAGAAGCTTCAGCAAGACGCGGTTTTTCTTCACAGTGTAGCTCCCTACAGGGGCATCACCAAATCCAATGCGAGCAGCTGGGGCAATGAGATCCGGGAGATGTTGTGGAGGGACTTTCTGGCATCAACCAAGGCAGCGCAGGCTGTTACCCAGCAAGCATCGTGGCTCCGAATTTGGTTTGGTCTCATCAGTTGCTGCACTGACGTCTTTATGCTGCGAGCTGTTTGAAAAAACATGCTCTGAGAGAGGGCCCAGCTGGAAGCGGACAGCTGCAACTCGGAAAAGCTTCAGCAAGACGCGGTTTTTCTCCACAGTGTAGCTCCCTAGTTTCGGCCAGGAACCCCAAAGGAAGGCCCCCACATCCCCCAATGTGTTAGGAATTGTCGGTTCTGTTGGCCTTTGGAGGGCTCTTCTAAGGGCCCCTAAGTCCTTCAACTGTTAGTTCAAAACCCGAACCCCCCCGACTTTCAACCCTCAACCCTACCCTAAACCCCGAAGCTGCAAACGAGCTCTGATCCCCAAGGCTTTCAAGCCCCGACAGGACCTTGCGCGGCCCAGCGGCCGAGAGCGGCATCGCTGCGGCCGTGTGGCGCCTGGGCAGAAGTTGTGGGGCATTCAGGTTTCAGGTTTAGGAGTTAGGGTTTAGGGATGGTATTGAGGGTATTGAGGGTATTGTATTGAGGGTATTGAGGGTGTTGAGGGTATTGAGGATATTGAGGGTGTTGAGGGTGTTGAGGGCATTGAGGTTTTTAAGGGTTTCAAGCAGCGGTTTTAAGTGTTCGTTTTAATGCTTGCGGGGTGGGCTTCAAGGGTTGAAGGGTTGAGGGTGTGGGTGGAAGGGTTTAGGGGTTCAAGGGTTTAAGTTTAAAGGTTTTGCTGTCTGGGCATGTGTTTGGGGCTTTAGGGTTTACGATCTTGAGGTTTCGGCTGTAGGGTTTTACGTTTTGGGGTTCTAAGGGTTTAGGGTTCAGGTCTGAGGGGGCGGTAGGGCCGAGGGTTTGCGGGGGTGAGTGTTAAGATTGCGGGGTCCAAATCAGGAGCCAAAAACATCACCAGTGCAACCCCCCCCCCCCCCCCCCCCCCCCCCCCGCCCCCCGCCGCCGTGTACAAGGTGCTCGCATCTGGTCTGAAACCCAACAAGCCGAGCGACATCATCGGAGAGGACCGCTCGTGAGGGATAATTCACTAAGTGGACAGGGTGAGATTCGCATGTCTGCTTACGAGAATCTCAGGCTCTGCTGCGTGTGAAATGGACAAAGACTCGGCGCGTGCCCGGCGGTCAAAACCCGCGAATTCTTGCGTGCTGCATGAAAGGAGTCGTCGGGTTCCTTTGCTCCCTTATACTAACAGTCCTTCATAGGGACGGAAAAGGGGGGTACTGTAGTCCCTGTTAAGGACTGTTCGTATCAGGGGGAACATCCCTAAACCCCAAACAGCTGAAGGAGCTGCTGCTGGGGTACGAAGACCTGCCGAAGACCGGACAGGCCTTTGAGATGCTCGCCGCCAACACTAAACGTTCACTAAACCCTGAACGCGAAACCCGAAACCCTAAACCCTAAACCCTGTTCAAGTTTGGGTTTTGGGGTTGAGTTTTCTTTTCTGGTCTTACGTTGGAGGCTTGGGCTTTTGGGGTGTAGTTCTTTGCCCAACATGTTTGAAACCAAATGGAGAGTGTGTGTGTGTGTTTACCCTAAACCCTAAAACCTAAACCCTAAACCCTAAACCCTAAAACCGAAACCCTAAACCATAAACCCTAAACCCCAAGACCCTACACCCTAAACTTAGGAATCAGTCGGTGCTGGTCTGGGGCTTCGGCAATGCTGCGCATGAGACCAGCCGCGAGGTCCAGAAGTTCACGCAGGCGCCGATCTCTGCAGGGGGGGTTTTGAGGGCATTAGGGCTTTTAGGGTTTTATAGGGTTTTGTTCAGGGTTTTTTTAGGGTTTTTAGGGGTTTTTAGGGGTTTTTAGGGTTTTAGTTTCACGTTGAGGCTTTGGTTTAGGCTCTAGGGGTTCTATATGTATGGGGCTTGATTTATGGGGGGCCTCCTTTTTCGTCCGGGAGGGCTTCTCCTAAAGACCTTGGCTTAGCGCAACCGCATGTGCCTTTGGAACAACAGGCTGGGATATGATAGAATCAAAGGGCGCCGGACCTTCAGCTCAACCAGGGTTTTGGGTGTGAGGCCGTACATAGGGTTTGCGGCAGCTGGGAGGGCGGAAGGGTTTAGGGTTTAGGGTTTAGGGTTTGGGGTTTAGGGTTTAGGGTTTAGGGTTTAGGGTTTAGGGTTTAGGAACTATAGCCACTTCCCAAACTCTGTTAACACCCCGCTCGCGCCCTCACATTCCAACCAAAACAGGCGGTGACACTGCTCCATCGCACCCCGCCGCCCTCGCCTTTGGCCCCACGGGCCTCGGCGCTTCCCCGCTTTGCGCACCTCGGTTGCAGGGCGGACGCTTTGGGAACTGAAGCCCGAAAGCCTCAACCGTCACAAAACGCCCACTTCCCCTGAGGTTCTTCACGCACTACCCGGGCGACATCCGGCCGTCTGCCTGAGTTTGCGGGGTGGCAGCCCTATAGACCCTGTAAAACCCTAAGCCCTAAACCCTAAACCCTAAACCCTAAACCCTAAAGACCCTTAAAGCCCCTGAATCCCGATGCTCCCCGCAGCTTCAGGGCCTCGGCGGTTTTCAGCGTCGGAGCTTGAGGGGATTCGAGTGTCCGGAACTTTCCAGGACGGTGACTATGCAGATCTATGACTCGTACCTGCTCAAGGCACTGCGACCGAGAAGAGTTTGTTGAACTCAAGAAATACTAGAGTTTAGGGCTTAGGGTTAGGGTTTAGGGTTCAGGGTTAGGTTTTTCCCCTTTATAAGGATGTTTTGGTACAAGATGCCAAGAGGCCAACAGGTTGTCCCCGGACGCCGCCCAGAATCTCTCAGCCGCCAAACGCTGCCATATACTCACCTCATCCAGCGCAGTCCTCAAGCCCCCCAAACCCCTGAGCGCCTAAACCCTAAAACTCTATTACCCCGAAGTACCCTGAAACCCAAAGCCCTAAAGCCCCCTGAACCCTAAAGCCCTAAAACCCCCAAAGCCCAAAGCCTTCAAACCCCAAAACCCCCCCAAAAAAGCCTCAGGCCCTAAACCCCCCCCCCCTCAAACAAAAAAAAGAACAAAAAGCAAAGAAACCCTAAAGCCCTAAAGCCCTGAACCCAAAATGGACAGAGCCCCGAGGCGCTGGACGTGAAGCTGGCTTATGCGGGGGAGGAGACGGCTGGGAGACGAAAAGCGGGGGGGGGGGGGGGGGTTTAGGGTTTAGGGTTTAGGGTTTAGGGTTTAGGGTTTTAGGGTTTAGGGTTTAGGGTTTAGGGTTTAGGGTTTAGGGTTTAGGGTTTAGGGTTTAGGGTTTAGGGAGGGAGGAGTTGGAGCTTCGTAGGGTTTGGAGGGCCGGGTTGGAGGCCTTAAATCCCTTCTCCCTGAACCCTGGGGGAGCCTGAACTCTGAACCCTAAACCCTGTCAGCTTGCTTGTGTTCTTCTGCCCAGAGAGCCCAATGCCCCTTAAACAAGGAATATACAGCAAATCATACTAAGGATCCTTATATGCTTTGAGGTATATTCCTTATTTAAATTCATTTAAGAGGTATTGGGCTCTTTGGGTGTGGAAGTCGAAGTGGCCAAACTATCACACCGGAAGGGACCGTTGTGTAACGAAAACGCACATGAGCCAAGACACCTATTCCAATTAGGTTTAGGGTTAAGGGTTTAGGGTTTAGGGTTTAGGGTTACCTTGTTGGGCCCTTCTTATAAGGGAATCCTACTACATGGGCGTCCCCTATCTTCGTAAGCCCCCCAAGTAGGTCCGTGTGTCGCGCACAAGTCATTCTTGCACTTGCGTCTCCTGGTGCTTGTTTGCTAAGATTTAAAGAAGGCTGGCTTGTGAGGTTTAGGGTTCAGGGATCGGGGTTCGGGGTGTGGGGTTTAGGGTTTAGGGTTTGGGGTTTAGGGTTTAGGGTGTAGGGTTTAGGGTTTAGGGTTTAGGGTTTAGCAGGGTTCCTTCTTCTTCCCTTCTGAGGCTTCCGCCCGCAACTGAATGCTTGCAGGAAGAGGAGCCCGTTTTCCTTCGGTGCCTGCGGCGGCTGCTGTGCGTTTGGGTGTCCAAGCGCAGTCGATGTGGTGGAGCAGGTAGGGGTTTTAGGGGTTTGGGGTTGGGGTTTAGGGTTGGCTGATGAGTTGAAGCCGAAGGTTCAAGACTTGTGCGTAGGGAGCTGCCATTTGCGGCGCATTGCTGCCTTTTCCTCCCGTCCTCCGGATGAAGGCGACGAGCGCCGCATCCTTCCGAATCGCGTGGTTCCGGCATCCGTGCCGTCGCCGCAAGGGGATCGCAGGGGCTAGCGTCAACAGGGTTTCGCGTTGGGGAGGTGTCGATGGGTTTCCAGAGGCTCAAGAGTTCAAGTGTTTGGTGCATAATTAGGGTTCAAGGGTTGAGTCCACGTGTTCAGGGCTTGAGGGCGGGCTTGGGGTGTCGCTTAGGATGTCTTTAGGGTTGTCGGTTAAAAGTAGTGTGGGCTGATGTTCGGCGACATCTTTCATGCAATGGACTGACACGCGGCATGCCATAGCCACCTGCCCGTGTCCACACTGGACCCACGCCAGCCGAAGACAAGCGCACATTCATCTCAAAGCATGTAATGCTGAGCCCCCAAATCCTGAACCTCACCCCGTCTTGGACTCTTGGGGGGTCACCCTATGGGGCAGGTTGGGGGACCCGATGATCGTCATCTCCTCTTCGCATCAGCCCACTCTTTGAGGCGCCTCGGCAGTGCGCTGTCTCGGTGGGCCCGATGGAGGCCGATGCGTGGCCGGTCTAGTCTGGTTCAGGGTGTAGACTGCAGAGTCTTGCGAATTATTGTTGGGGTTGGGTGGAACGAGGGTGAAGAGTGAAGCCCCTTTAGACCCTTACACTCCGATGGCCGAGAATCCCCCGTTCGTACTTCGATGGCCACGCCTAGGCGCGCTCGTGTTGCCCGGTAGGCGCTCCAAGCCACGCCCTAGCTCCTGAACTCTCAGCCCGAAACCCTGCACCCAAAACTCTCCAGCCCGAAGTCCATCCTAAACGTTCAACCATCAGCCCGAGCCCCGCAAAAGGATTGCGAAACCCTAAACCCTAAACCCTAAACCCTAAACCCTAAACCCGAAACAGCCCCCCGGAGCCCTAAAGCCGCAAGACTTCGCGGGGCCAATCCAAGGCCGGGGACCGGGTGGCGGCCCCCTTGCTCACGCGACTTGGCCCTCGGAGGGGGGGGGAGTCGTCAAGGGGTTTTAGCTTTCATGGGGGCTTCCGGGTTTTTTGAAGGGGGTGCTTCTTGATCTTTATCGTGATTATTCTTCTTCTTGCTAGCTATACTTCTTCTTCTTCTTATGCTGATTGCTACGATTATTACCAGTATTACATTTTTTGCCATGTGCACATCGGAAGGATGTAGGGTCTCGAGGGCTGCCAGGGGGTGCCCGAAGTGATGCGACTCTGGTACTTCGTTGTAAAGTCCACCTCCCGGAGCTTGGGCCGCGCTGCGGGGACATCGCTCTTGCAAGGCCCAAAACCCGAAAAAAAACCAGGGGGGGGGAACCCTAAACCCTAAACCCTAAACCCTAAACCCTAAACCCTAAACCCTAAACCCTAAACCCTAAACCCTAAACCCTAAACCCTAAACCCTAAACCCTAACTCCTAAACCCTAAACCCTAAACCCTAAACCCTAAACCCTAAACCCTAAAACCTAAAACCTAAAACCTACAACCTAAAACCTAAAACCTAAAACCTAAACCGGAAACCCTAAAACCAAAACGTTCTTCAGGGCTCCGAAGCCCTGGACCCTAAACCCAACAAAACCAAGATAAGCCTCTTCCAAACCCCCGAACCCCAAACCTTCCAAGCATGACAAGGACAGTACTTGGAAGTGCTCTCAGAAGTACCTTAGTGAGGGCCCCTGTATGGGTTCAGGGTGTATTCCCTAAGCCCCAAACCTTTAAACAAACCGCTTAAACCCCAAAGCATGAAGCCCGAAACCCTAAACCCTAAACCCTAAACCCTAAACCCCAAACCCCAAACGCTTAACCCCAAACGCTTAACCCTAAACCCTAAACCCTAGTCCCTGGACCCTAAACCCTAAATCCTAAACCCTAAACCCTAAACTGTTAACCCTGAAGCTGCTCTGAAAGCCCCGCAAGCCGCCAACACAAGGCTCCTGCGGTCGCTCACCCGTCGCGGCTTGGCCGTGGAGGGCCGGGACTTCGCCTGGGAGGCCCCGGGGTTTTAGGGTTTAGGGTTTAGGGTTTCGGGTTTAGGGTTTTTCGGGTTTCGGGTTTAGGGTTTCGGGTTTCGGGTTTGAGTTTGGGGGTTCCGGGGCTTGGGGGTTCAGGATGGTGTCGTAAGTACCTCCAGACCCTCTGGGGTGGTGAGGGCGTTTGACTTTTAGGGCGCAGGGTTTTTGGCGCTGTGTCGGGCTTTGTGTTCAAGAGCCGGCCTGGCCTTCCGTTTTTGTATGGCAGCTCTCCGAATTATTGGTCCGATTTTGGGTACCCTAGATATCAAGCTCTGTATCGACATGATGGGAAGGAACCTGTTAAGCCCTCTTTGAGGCGGCAGATACGTGTGAAGAATCCACGTGCCCTGAACCCAGAAGCGGGGAAGCACAATGAGCAGGCACCTGCCGGGGAGCATCCGGCAGCACGGCTGCAATATGCTGCTCTGGACTCTGGACCCCGAACCCGACAAGTCAGGCTTTGGGCGTTAACGCTTGAGAGGGCTCAGGTTTTCGGAGGTTTTTTTACCTATAGTGCTTCAGCACGGGATAGACTTGACGAGGTGGTCGCTGAGTCCGGGAGGCTGCAATAGCAGGGTAGGAGCCAAGGTAAGGTTGCAGCCGAAGAAGGGAGTGAGGAAAGGGTTTAGGGTTCAGGCTTAGGGTTTAGGGTGGTTGGACAGGCAAAAGCCAGTGAGAGGAATGGTTGCCACAAGTTCCGATCTACTTCAGGATCGGCACAGGCACGAAGGTTGGGCGTCCACTACCCCCCATTCAAATACCATGAGACAAGGACGGTCGAAACGCCTACAACACCCCCCCCCACCCCGGAAGTTCATGATGCTGTGTCATTGTAAACCCTAAACCTTAATCCTTAAACCCTAAACCCGAAACCCGAAACCCGAAACCCTTCACCCGAAAGGCCTCAACAGCGGAAAACTGCAGGCACTTGCATCGCGGCTTGCGGAGCTCGGCTACGGAGACTCGGACTGCAAAAGGCCAAAGGTTGTCGAGTAAGATTTCAGGGCCTTCATACTACGGTTCAGGGTTTAGGGTTTAGGGTTTTGGGGGGGCTCTTTCATAGTAGAATTATCTGGGGACCAGAAGGGAAAACCAGTAGCAAGTATTCCGACCCCTGGAGTAGTTCGGAGCCTGCTCTCCAAAGACCTAAGCCCCGTAACCGATTTTAGGGTTTAGGGTTTAGGGTTCAGGAGTTCGGGGTTGTGAAAATGCTTGCTACTCAAGCTGCTGCTTGCGCTAGAAAAGGCGTGAGGGTGTTGCTTCACTTCAACCCCCAACACCCTAAACCCCAAACCCTAAACCCTTAACCCTAAACCCTAAACCCTAAACCGAAACCCCAGGGCAATGCTGCTTCCTACGTGACTTGCAGGGAGCGTGCCGGAGTACCTGGCCGCGCGTCAACGCCCCTTTGCTGCTTTAAGGGTGAGGGTTTAGGGTTTAGGGTTTGGAGTTTAGGGTTTAGGGTTTGGGGTTCAGGGTTTGGGGTTCAGCGTGTAGGGGATTGGGGTTCAGGGTTTAGGGTTTGGGGTCTATGCAGCTCGTAAGCCCGTAAACCCTCGGCACCCAAACCCTAAACCCTAAACCCTGAACCCTAAACCCTAAGCCCTAAACCCCAAACCCTAAGCCCTAAACCCTAGGCCCTAAGCCCTAAACCCCAAACCCCAAACCCTAAACCCTAAACCCTAAGCCCTAAGCCCTAAACCCTAAACCCCAATCCCCACACCCCGAGACCGAGGCGAGGGCCTGGCCTGGAATGCCGCCTTCGCGCGGCGCGGCCGGCGCCTGGAGCGGGGGCGTAAGAGGCTTCAGGGCTCAGGGTTTTGGGGGTTTCGGGTTTGTAGGGTTTAGGGTTTAGGGTTTAGGGTTTAGGGTCTGTAGGGTTTAGGGTTTAGGGTTTAGGGTTTAGGGTTTAGGGTTTAGGGTTTAGGGGTTATGGGTCAGAGTTTAGGGTTTAGAGCTTAGGGTTTAGGGTTTGGGGTTTTGGTGGGTCCCCTGCGCCTTGAGCCCAAATCTCAACCCTAAGCTGGACCCTGTAAAAAACCCCAGAGCCCTAGCCCCTAGACCCGAGTCCGAGGACCCCAAACTAAGCCCCCAAAACACGACTTGAAGGTTCATTGGCTCATTGGTAGTTCTCAGTGGAAGCTTTATTCCTGGGGTAGTTACATGGTCCCTTTATATGGGCCCTGAAGAGGAGACCCTTGTATCCCCCCAAGATTTATGTGCCAACCAGGGTGGGCCGTCGCCGCCTCAGTTCTAACAAGCCATCAGCCCATCCCTACACCCTAAAACCCTAAAGCCTAAAACCCTAAACAGGCCCTAAACCCTAAAACGCTAAACCCTACAACGCTAAGCCCTGGGCCCTAAGCACCCTGGTTTAGGGCTTAGGGCTTCGGATTCAGGGGTAATAACCTTCGAGCCCGAGAGCTGCAGGAGCTGAGCTCCGAATTCCTCGCGACGCAGCGGCCTCTCATGGACCTGGTGGCCAGGCTTCGGGGGGCTTCGGGGGGTTGGGGGTTGAGGGGTTTAGGGGTTTAGGGGTTTAGGGTTGAGGGTTGAGGGTTGAGGGTTTAGGGCGAGGCGTCCGGCGCGAATCAAGCCCCCAAGTGCATCCCTGCCCTAAGCCCAGATCCCGCGTTGTAAAGATTGTCGGGGTGTGGTTGAAAGGTATACCAGCTACACTTCGCCTGAACTTCTGTTGGCTGCAGGCCCGTTAAACGGTAATTGTACCTAACCCTAAACCCCGACATTCCGAGAGAGGTACGCCGTTTCGGAGCGCCTCTGAGAACTACTAAGCGGGCTTCGGGAGCTACGGGTTTTCCGGTCTAGTGGTTTAGGGGCTTTGGGCGCTTGCGGAGTGTAGGGGTTTAGGAGGGGTTTAGGGGCAGTTTAGGGTACATGATGGTTTTGGGGGCTCTGATAACTCCTAAACTTGGGATGTTCCCCCTTTACACTAACAGTCCTTGATAGGGATTAGAACAGTGGGTACTAGAATCCCTAAAAAGCACTGGGAGTATAAGGGGGAACATCGCAACCCTAGACCCTAATCCGCTTCATTTAAGATTTTTAGTCTCGCGTCGTGGAGGCTGCGGCCTCTGCTCAGCCAGGATCCCTTGCGCCATCCGTTCCACGCGGGGATCCGCTGCCCTGCTATGAGAGAGAGGTCTAGGGTTGAGGTTTTGGGGCCTCTACGGATAGAATTCTAGCACGTGATTTCCCTGAGAGCCCAAGACCTTTATTAGGGAATCTACCTGAAAAACCCTTCTCAAAGGGTCCTCACGATGAAGGTATGCTCCCCCAAGCAAAAGGTGTTTTAGGCTCGGGACACTTCCCTGACCCCCCCAAACCCTCAAACCCTTGAACCTTAAACGCGAAACAGCAGTTTAGGCGACGCATGGAGGAGTCCAGGAGGTAGGGTTTTGCTTTATGCGGACTCTGAGGTTGTCAGAAGGGAGGAGTAGTGAAGGCCGACGAGTGACTGAGTTTGTCTTGCAAACAGGGAAAGAACTCGTGTACCGACTAAGTGCCCCAGAAGGCCTCTTCGAATGGCAAGGCGCCATCCCGGTTTTTGCGCACACCTTGAGAAGGCCTATCCTCCCAAATCCAGATCACTGAACCCAACAATCAAGATGAACAGCCGAACCTGAAATCCTAAACCCTGACCTCAGACCCTAAACCCTTGACCCGACACCCCACCTTGCTGCTTCGAGGCTGTCTCGGCTGGCGCGCTGCCTTGCCTGACGTGGCAAACCTGACTGAGACAGGTGGGCGCGGAACTGGATCTACAGTGATTGAAGGGTCTCGGGTAAGTTGGCTACAGGCTTGTGGTTCTGTCGCCATCCGTAAGATCCAAAGCGCTTCCTATAAGTGGAAGCTTCTGCACCATGGCGGTCGTTTGTACATGTTGCTATGCTCTGAAGAAGCGCTAAGTTACTTAAGTTTGCGCAGTTGTGATGGGACTGTGGCTGCGGGGGTCTGAGGGCTTAGGCCCTGGTTTTTGCTGATGGAGAAACGGGTTCGTTCCCATGGATCCCCCCAAAATGCCCTTTGATGCAAAAGAGCTCCCACAAATTAGGGTCATTCCAGGCCCGTGTTTATCTCCCCATGTGCTCATCGGTCCGGTTCAGGGGTGCTATTGCAGACGTTTGCGCTTCTTGATGAGAGGGCAGCTCTTCTAAGCGCTGAAGCACTTAAACCCTGCACCCTTAACCGCGACGTCCCGGTGTGTTTCCTCAGCCCGACACCCGAAACCCATGGAGGCAAGTATCCGATCATGGACGCCTCGTACCAGTCCACAGCCATTCCAGGGCTCTTCTTCGCAGGCGGCCCTACTGAGCGCGCTTTCTCTCTCTCTCTCTCTCCCTCCCCGCGCTCTCTTGCTCGCTCTCTCGCTCTCATGTTTTTTTTTTTTTGTCTCTCTCTCTCTCCCTCTCTGTCGCTTAGCAGGGTTTGGGGCTCTTGCTGCCTGTCTGTCTCGACGGGACTGCTGTGAGGGGGCGATGAGAGCCTTTCTGTTGAAACACCGTGTATGCTGCATGTCGAAGTGCAGAAACCCAGCTCAAGGAGCCCTCAGCCATGGGAGGGACTATCGACGTTCGGCTGGTGGCTTCATCCATGGCTTCAGGCGCTGCGGAACAGGGAGGTCAACTCAGCGTTCAATCTTGTGATGCTCTCACGCATGAATATGCGTCAAGGGTTGGCTGACAGGCTTGTGCTGACAGTCTTGTTGGCGGCAGGGGATGCTGCGATGTTGGCAGGTACACGGCCCGCGCACTCCACCGAATCCTACGCTACAAGCAAGCGGGTTGGCCGAATGCATCCTATGCAGTGGATGAGGACGGTGCCCTAAGAAGTCAGGGCATTCACGACAACTCACTGCGATGCCGCACTTCCGCAGCACATGCTGTTGCACATGCGCAGCTCGTGACTTTGGGGCACGCCTGCAAGGAGCCTTGGATGCGCCAGGCCAAAGACTGAGGGTGTTCATATGATGTTCCGTTAGCGTGTGGGAGCCTTTTGAGCTGACGCCGCCTTGGAGCCACGCGTGTCGCCTGATGTGCAGGTGCTTGGCCGGATCAATGAGGCCGCAGGCGTGAAGCCATGTGCGACGAAGTGCGTAGATCAGGGAAGACGCAAAGAGCCCAATACCTCGTAGTTAAGGAATATACCTTAAATCATATAGGGATCCTTAATATGATTTAAGGTATATTCCTTACTTCAGGGGTATTGGGCTCTCTGGGGATCTCGGATTTGTTGAACAATCTGCATTGGGAGAGCACGTGAGGCACCAGGCCGTCCTTCTTGTGTGCTGGGGCATGTAGCACCCATGGCATCTTGTCCATGGCTCGCTGAGTTCGGGAGAAAGTCACTGAGGAGCCTTTCAACGTAAACCCGTGGGTCATGCCGGACTCCTGAGTCCCTCGCATCCCAAGCTCTAAGCCCCAAACCCACACCTCTGCTGCATGCCTTCTGCATTGGGTTTTAAGAAGAAGCTTGCGGTTGATCTGAAATAATATGGGAGGCGCCCTGCCCTTGGGGCTTCAAGCTGTTGTGGGTTTTCGGCTTTCAGCTTCCGAAAGGCCCGTATCAGATGTTCGGTGAGCTGGTGGACGTGCTTCTTTTCAAGGCCTGATCGGATCCTGGGCTAGAGCCAGGGTTTCGTTTTTCCATGCGCGACCCCAAGGCCCTACCGTAGACCCGAAAACCCAAGCCCTCAAAAACCCTAGGAGGCCGAAGCCTCTGCTTGGGTCCCTACAAGTCATGAGGGCGTCGTGACTACGGTTTTCTTTATGGGAAACCAAGGCAAAGTTATAAACGCATGACTTGGGATGTTCCCCCTTATACTAACAGTCCTTAACAGGGATTATAACAGGTGCTATGATCCCAATTAAAGTGTTAAGTCTAGGGGGGGAGCATCCCAACACATAGAGCGTGTGAGAGGCAGGCCCCGGTGGCTTGCGAGTGCACTACTTCGAGGAGGTGCCCATGGCCTACGCCCAGGCCTTTCTTTCCTCCCCAAAAAATCCCGCCATAAGAGGACTTGGTAGCCCAGTGGTGCCCAGTGGTGCCCAGTGGTGCCCAGTGGTGCCCTTTTCCCTTTTATTGGTTCAAGGTTCCCTTCCAAAGTAACCAGCCCCAGGAAGGGTGCCCTGATTTTAGTATGGTTACTGGGCTACCAAGAGGAGGAGCCTTGTTTGGACGTTATTGTGTAGGTAGGCCCCGGCTTGTGAATCTCTACTCATGATGCCTTCATGATTCAAACTCAGGTCTGAAGGAGGATCCTGCAGATGCCAGGGTTTTGGGGGTATAGGCTTTCGGGTTCTCGAGCTGTTCATGAGAAGCGGTCGGAGTCGTCGTGGTGCTCAAGCTCTGCCAGGAGAACAGCGACTTCCGCACCCACCCGCGCACGCTGCCTCAAGAGAGGGTTAAACCCTAAACCCTAAACCCTAAACCCTAAACCCTAAACCCTAAACCCTAAACCCTAAACCCTAAACCCTAAACCCTAAACCCTAAACCCTAAACCCTAAACCCCCTGTGCTTCAGAAGTATCGAGCCGGGGGGCTCCCGAACTTAAAGTCGAATGTTGGTTGAGTCTCAATTGCAAGCGCCTAGATGTTGGGTTTAGGGTTTAGGGTTTAGGGTTTAGGGTTTAGGGTTTAGTTTGGTCAGGTGGCTAGATGTCTCGTGTCGTTTTATAAAAGCCTTTCGAGTGACCCCCCCCGTAAACCTTAAACCTCACATCCGACAATAAGGCTTGCTTCTCAGCTTCGTGTACGGCCGCTCGTCTTGTTCTGGGGGCTATGGGAACCCTAAACCCTAAACCCTAAACCCTAAACCCTAAACCCTAAACCCTAAACCCTGAACCCTAAAACGCGTTTGGAGCTCAGGGTTTCGGGGCGGCTTTTGAAATGGGAATGAAAGGTCAGTACTGGCAGACCTGTTGAAAGAAGCTTGGGCTTTACCAAAAAACCCCGAACCTTTAAACCCTCAAGTAAGGACCTTCCTTATACACGCCCAGTCAAAGAGCAGCCCCGACCCTGATGAACCTGAACTCCGCCAGCCTACCTGCCGAGTTCAGGGTTTAGGGGCCCTTGTAGGGGTTCTGGGTTCCATTTATAAGGTTTTCCCGGGTTTTGTCTTGGGTTTTGGACCCTAAGCCCTTAAGCCCTGAACCCGATGCCCTGAAGAAATGCTGTATGCTGGTGCCTCCGAGGCCGCCAGTTTAGCCCAGGAGACCTGCCAAGCCCTGGGGCAGTGGGTCGGGCACCGAGAACGACAGGGGGGTCGAGGGTTTAGGTTTTGGTGTTCGGAGTTTAGGGTGGTTTGCTGTGACAGGTGGGGATGTAGAGGAGCCTCAACCCTCAACCCTCAACCCTCAACCCTCAACCCTCAACCCTCAACCCTCAACCCTCAACCCTCAACCCTCAACCCTCAACCCTCAACCCTAAACCCTAAACCCTAAACCTTAAACCCTCAAACCCTCAAACCCTAAACGTCAGGTAAACAAAGCCGCAAGCTCAGGCGCGGAGTTCGCCGAGCTGTCCGCCTTCCTCCACCCTCGCCTGGAGCTCTTCGAGGCCTCCCCAGGCCTGGCCGGGCTTCAGAGGGTTTAGAGGGTTTAGGGTTTAGAGGGTTTAGAGGGTTTAGAGGGTTTAGAGGGTTTAGAGGGTTTAGAGGGTTTAGAGGGTTTAGAGGGTTTAGAGGGTTTAGAGGGTTTTAGGGGGTTTTAGAGGGTTTAGGGTTTAGAGGGTTTAGAGGGTTTAGAGGGTTTTAGAGGGTTTTAGAGGGTTTAGAGGGTTTAGAGGGTTTAGAGGGTTTAGAGGGTTTAGAGGGTTTAGAGGGTTTAGAGGGTTTAGAGGGTTTTGAGGGTTTAGAGGGTTTAGAGGGTTTAGAGGGTTTAGAGGGTTTAGAGGGTTTAAGGTTTTGGGTTATGGGTTTTGGGGTTTCGGTTCGGGGGTTTGAGGTTTAGGGTTTTGGGGTTTAAGGTTTGCGGTTTTGGGGTTGAGGGTTTGGTTTGGGGTTTAAGGGTTTTGGGGTTTAAGGTTTGCGGTTTTTGGGGTTCAAGGTTTGCTTTGGGGTTTGGGCTTCAGGGTTTAAGGTTTGGGTTGGGTGTTTCTTAGAAGTGGCTATGAAGGTCGGGCCGAATGCTGCGTCACGCGCGAATTGCAGTTATGGCTCGCTCGATTGCGATGGCCATCGACTCAAGTCAAAGCCACTCTAACCTTTTGCCTTTCAGGGTTTAGACCTAAAACTCATGTCAAATCCTAAAAACTGAACACTTCTCGGGGTCTGAAATTTATGGGAGCCTTTCTTTTGGGTTGATGGTTGGGGGGTGGAGGCCTGCTGCGGGGCGCGCCCACGAGCGGGGGGCGGGGGTTTAGGGTTTAGGGGTTTAGGGATTTAGGGGTTTAGGGTTTAGGGTTTAGGGAGCGTGGTTCGATGCTGTCGAGACGGATGAAAGAGGGGCTCACTATCGGGCAGAAAGTACCGCAGCCCTTAGCCCACAAGCCCCTAAACCCCAAATCCCATCAAACCCCGGATTTCAGAAATTCAAATCTTGTGCCGTCGGTTCTGACGTTCGGTGAGGGGGTTTTGAGTGTCCGTGCGGGGTGAAGCCGCCCGCCGTCCTGCTGGAGAACCTTGCCCCCTTCATGTCTTCATGTTTTAAACATACAGCCGCAAGAGTGATCCTCGCACTCCCTGGGATATCATCCCTGCGGACACTCGAGAGACTCAGAGTTATTTAAGTTATCTATTACAGGTTCACGAACATGTCAGGCTCCGCACATGATGTGTGCCATTCGGGTGCCAACCTCCGCATTCATGCTACAAGCGGACCTTTTACATTCTTAAGAGCGAAGCATCTCCTGAAAGTACGTTGCGTCAGGGGCACATGGGCGGTTCCAGCTAACATGAGAATCTGATTGGAATAGTCAATTATCAAGTAGCGCCCTGGCCGTCTGCACACTGAGGTCCCGCAGGCGATCAACCTCGCTTCCCGACAACTTCCTACTAACTTAGAGAACTGGCAAAACGTTGTACCCTAAACACAAAACCCTAAACCCTAAACCCTAAGCCCTAAACCCTAAACCCTAAACCCTGGTCCAAGTCTCATCCTCCTGCACCTGCGCGCAGCGTCATGCTCCCGCGCCCGCGCGCAGCGCAGGTGCTGGCCACTGCTTGCCGGTGGTGACCCACTCCGTGGTCGAGGTCGCCTAAACCCTCAAGCCTTGCAAGCCCTTACTTGCAGGTTCATGGTTGTTAGTTCGAAGTAGGGTTATACGAACCCTAAATAAGGTTATATAACGGTTAAAATGGTTATTAGCTATAAGTAGGTTTATAAGTGCCCTAAATAAGTATATCCAGTTAAAATATTGTTGCCCTACTTAGAACCCCACTTATAACTACCCATGAGCCTCCAAGTAGCGGGGTTTCAGCAAGCCTGCATTCCCTGAGAGCTCCACAAGTCACTCTCGAGGTAGACCTTGAGATACAATCCAAAAAATAGGGTTTAGGGTTTAGGGTTTAGGGTTTAGGGTTCAGGCTTCAGGGTTTAGGGTTTAGGACTTAGGGGTTTACCAAGCCTACATTCCCCAAATGCTCCCGGCCTACCCTTCAAGCCCTCTCTCCCGCAAGCCCATGAGGGGGTGTAGGGTTTAGGGTTTAGGGTTAGGGTTTAGGGGGTTTACGATATTAGGGTACCTTATTGAGGTCCTTATAATAAGGGGTTCCTACTATTCGGGCGTCTTATATTCGGGCTCCCCTATTTTCGTGAGCCCCCCCCAATGAGGGTTCGCAGTTTGGGTTCTGCGAGGACGTCTTCACCGACTGGCAGTCCTTTGTGGGGCACGTCGATCCGCTCTTCCGATTCCTCGACGCCCATCGGCCATGACCAAGAATCATGGGGTTCCCCTATTACCCCCCTCTAGAGGAGGGGATGGGCTGCGTAGGGTTTAGAAAGGGTGGGTTTAGGAACGAGGCAAATACAAAGAAACATGGCTAACAATAAGTCCCTCCATCTTGAAGTAAGTGATGACCGAAAGCATGAGGTTCTCTAAATTATGGTCCTGTTTTGGGGATCGGAGCCGTATATAAATATAGATATGGGCGTTGTTCTAAACCCCCGCCTCTTCATGTTTAATTGGGCCGGCCACACGTATGTTGCCTTCGTGTAACTATGGCGCCAAAAACCAGCACGGCGCAACGGGGCGCAAGGGCGAGCGCAAGGGCCAGGAGCCCAACACTCTAAGATCAGGCCGCTGCCTTGTCGTGTACAGGGTCAGGGGTCTGCAAGTTTAGGTGTTAGGGTTAGAGGTTAGGGTTTAGGGGTTGAGGGCCTAGGGGCTAGGGTCTGGGGGGCTTAGGGTTTAGGATGGTTTCGTATAGGATGTGTTCAGGGTTAGAGGTTAGTGGGTCTAGAGTCTAGAGTTTAGTTTGTCAGTGGGACTCGCGTCGCAAGGGTGGCGCAAGGGACGCGCAAGGCTGGCGCAAGACCGCGTGGCCGATGTGGAGCCATGGGCCCTGACACAATGAGACTGGTTTGTACATGTCATGAAACATCGATTCCGGTGCTAAGTTAAGCCTGCACTTCAAAACAGCGACAATCCAGCCGCATTAGGGAATCATCGCTTCCAGTACTGAGCTCGAACTACGACACAGTGACAATCCAGCCAGCTTATGGAAACATCGCTTCTAGTACATAGTACACACCCCCAGAAAACCTTGTCGGTACCACGTTTTTTAGTTGGCATGTTTGCCGACGTGGCCAAACACTAGCACGGCGCAAGGCGGCGCAAGGGCGAGGCGCAAGGGAACCCTACGGCCTTAGGCTTGGCATAAGAATTTAGAACAACATCCATATATAATTATAGATATACAATATACATATATATATATACACACAAGAGTTTTTGAATGCAGGGCAAGCAAAATGGGCCCGTACTTGCCGGTGCGCCGAGTCGGGATACAGTACTATTGAAGGGGTGCCCTTCATACAAGCGGCGCTCCTAATCACGATAGAAGGGCAGTTCTCTAAGTGAGGCTCCGTTTTTGGCGCCAGGCCCTCGGTTTGTGGTACGCAACAAGGGAGCTCAGCACTAACCCCTAAACCACTTAGGGTCTGCAGCGTCAAAGAGCCCCTAAGCCCCTAAAAACGAGAGCCGGACTCAGGCCTGCGCCAGGATGGCATCGGAATGGCTGCAGGCAGGAAGGGGTTGGTTAGGTTTTCTCTCCTTTCCCCCAGCCCGGAACACTCAAAACCGGGCGCTGGACTTTGTTGCAAGCAATGATCTCCTGCTGTTGAGTTGCCGTGCGACATGATACGAGGATCCCGTCTCTGCATTTGCTGATGATTGATCGCTTCCCACAAAACAGCTGTGCTGCGTATGCAGGTGAAGAAAGCAAGACGCGCCTAGCAATGTGAAGGCTGGCGGGTGGTGGGGAGCTGGTTGCCGAGATAGTAGCAGAAACATGACCTTTTTCGGGGACATACATCTTACTCATGGTCGCCGTGCTGTCATCCTCGCCGTGCCTTGTGATCCCACCAAACATTACGTCAGGTGCTGTGCACCTTAAGAACTCTGACGCTGGCCACGCCTGCTGCAACACATCATCGTCACCACCATCATCGACTTGAAGGCCGGGGACGACAGCAACGCAGGTGACACTGGAGGCACTTTGCAGTACTGCTTTCTCTTGACATCGTCGCATCAAGACTGGTGGATCCTGGTGGCAAGGACCCGTGAGTTCGGCAGCGGCTTCTTCGTGAAGCTGAAGGCCTGAGATTGGTCTGTGCATCATCAATGCCCCTCTGCCACTACCTCTGGGAGCATGTGGGCACGCCGCCTCTGGCATTTGAAGGAAAACCAGAAAACACGGCGACGAACTTCGAATGGGCTGTTGTGCCGACTGGTCAGGAGTGGGTCAAGCTAGTGCTTCGGTGCATCAGGTGACTGTCGAGAAAGATCCGAAAATCGAGGAGCAGGAAAAAGCGAGAGGAGTCATCACCTCAGAGCTAATTGTTCTCGTCATCCTTCGGTCGTACAACAAGCAAGCTTGCAGCCTTGCAGCCCTCAAGCAGGTAGACCTGCGCACAAGGAGGCATCAGAGGCTCGCCGATCGCGAAGTAAACTCGGGACATCTGGTCCCTTCCTTGCATGTGAGCGGTTGTGCATGTTCAGGATCGTGAAGGGGAGTCCTCGCAGAGGGCGGAGGGGCCCTGTGAGTCCAAGAGGAGCTCACCTGCATTTTCAAGGCGAAGCTGAAGCGTGGCTGCATCTCACAACAAGTCCTCAGAGTCGATGGCTGTCAACAAGGCATGCATGATGCGGCCTTTGCGCCGAGCGAAAATCGATTTCTTGCGCTGGCCGGGTATCAACTCTGCGGCCACGTGCCGCGGCCGCCCAGAACGTATTCAGCACCCGTGCACGCAAGCTCCGGGGGGCGTGCCAGCCTTGCTCGGGCACTGATCTGGCTGGATAACGCTGAGCAAACCAGGAAATTTAAACTCCTGCCCGCTTTCTGTGGTGCCCGGCTACCCAAGAGACTCTAGTTCTCTCAGCGTCGCCATGGTGAACCTGGGTGTTGAAGAATATGAGGATGGTACAGGCCATGGCTTCTTTCGTGCAGCTTTTGCTGGAATGTTTGAGACCTGGTTGCCCTGCGGGCTCAGGGTTTCGCCTGCCATAAGTAGGCCGGATTTGCGGCGCCGTGTTGGGTGGCCGACTGGCCAGGGATGACCGAGAGCAAGATGGACGAGACGCACTGGAGCCCCGAAGACAACTGCCCTGGCAGTGCTCCAGTGGCATCCGATCCCGCACGACTTGCTGGCATGTGTCGTCCTTTGCTGTGTTGCAGCACGTGAACAGCAGAGTCCACAGGGGGTATCCTCGTGTGTTCTCCGACGCTGCAGAACCCGCTGCAAGCCGTAGTTTAGGCCACGGCCCTGGCTGATGCAATTCTGGACCTCGTTCCACGCGAGGATTTGCAGGCACCCTGGTCCATAGTGATGAGTTTGGTTGCTTCCCTCTTTGTAAGCCACGGTGGTGTGCGAACACGGTTTCACGATACTTTTCGCAACATGCCATGCGGATCCAGAATTGACACGCGTGTCACATGAGGCCTACCTCAAGAGTAGTAGGAACTGTACAGTCGCGCTGCATGTGAGCCTCTGGAAAAAGGCGAGATCAAGTACACCGACACAAGACTGGTCACTTTGCATTTCACGGGTAGTTACAATAACGTGGGGTCAGATGTATCCAAACAAGGGCTAAGAAATACTGCTGCCCTAGTACTGAGTACTCTGAACGCTTAAGCCGTTCACCGTTTACCCGCAAAAAAGCTGAGGACATCCTCTGGGCCTATTGGTGGCAGCTGCTGTACAGCTACCAGGACTGGGCTGGAGCCCCAAACCCTGAACCCTAAACCCAGACCTGCGGGGGGTGTAGCGTCTACAGAGTGCAAGTGATGACGTGTGCTAAGATGGTAGCGCACGGGATTGTCGATATATCATTCTCCGGTTTCATGACGGCTCATTGAAGCGAAGTTCATGCGTCGGAACACAGTGAAGGCTTTTTGCAGCCTAGCGCCCGAGTCGCATCCGATCGGCCAGAACAAGCCGCAAACCCCAAACGCCAACACCCTAAGCCCCCTGAAAACAACCAATGTAGCTAGTAATCCCGTCCCCCTGATCGTCAAACGAGTATCTGTACTGAAAGGCAAATCTTCACGCTTCGTGGGTGTCGGGCTTATGGGTTTTTAGGTTAGGGTTGCTAGGCTTTACGGTTTAGGATTCTCAGGGTTGCATTCACCTTAATTCATCCGGCAGACTTGTTCAGCAGCTAGCCTGCGGATAGCCGTTATAATGCGCACCCATGAACCTTCAAGTGAAAGCACCTTCATGTTGAAGTGCCCTTGAACCCCAAACCCTAGCCCTCAACCTTAAGCCCGAAGCCTGAAGCCATAATGGACCTAATCTCTAAGACTTTAAAGCCCTAGGTCCTAAAAGCCCAGGAGTTGGCGGGACAGGGCCGCACCGGCAACCACCCCCTCCTGTTCGACCCTCATGGTCTTGGGGCGGTCGTAATTTTACAAGCCATAATTTTTTCGAATAGTTCAAAATACATATATATATGTATGTAGGTTATGCATATATATATATATATGTGTATCTATATATATATATATACACATACATACATACATGTATCGAGATATGAGACGATAATCTGGGTAGCTGCATGGGAGCAGAAAGGATGGTTAGATTGCCATGCAGAGTGCAGAGTGTACGGCGCGTTCTCTCACCTAGGCAAGGTGCGCGTTCTGGGCACAAAATACGTGCTGCCATGTAGGTGCCTCCTTGGCTACCGGATTCAGGGGTGGCGGTTTTCATGGTGCAATTTGCAGCATTCGGTTTCGTGACTGGAGTCACATTCCTGCCCGCATCCCATAGGCTTTCTCGCGCTTCAATCGCGTGGTGTCGCGAGAACATGGCGGTGACAGGTTCCTCTCAGGGCCCCAGAGCTCTGGATAGCTACCAGGAGTACGACAGACGCGAGCCGAACTGCGTTTTGGGGTAGAGTTTCGGCTGCGACTGTGTGGGTTGGGGGGGGGGGCAGCAAGCTGCGAGCGAGGAAGTGGACTGCCGTCCCTCCCTCTTGTGGTGCGTGTTTCTGCACTTGAAGAGTACGGTCGCGAAACAGACTCCGCGCACAGGGTTAGAGATGGTTGTTTTTCGCCAGATCGAGAAAGTATAACCTCATCAGTCCAGCACCTTACATCCTAAAGCCTAAAACCCCAACACCCGTAACTAAGGTCTTAATCCCCTAAACCCGAAAGTAAGGTATCAGACCCCTAAACCCTTAATTAAGGTATTTCGGTTTCTGGATGTTGCTTCAGCACAGGGCGTCGCTGGACGCGAAGTCCCGTGGCAAGAATGTAGAGATCCAGGCGGGTTCGGGTGGGGGTGGGGGGGGGTTAGGGGGATTCGGGGCCCGGGGTAAGGTTTTGGAGGCAGGGCGGTCTTGGGTAAGTAGTAGGAGTAGGGAGGACTTTTGTTTAGGAGGGCTTCGGGGTCTTTAGACTAGAGGGTTTAGGCGTTTGGGTACACTCAGATGTTTGGTAACCCTACATGTATGGCGCCGTGTTGCAACAAGGACCCCACAACATCCATTCCCGGCAGAACTGACGAAGTATATAGTACAGGGCAAATCCCGAAACCCGAAACCCTAAACCCGAAACCCCGAAACCCGAAATTTAGGAGCCTCCGGCTCAGGCCGCCGACCCAAGAGGCCCGAAACCTCTCAACCCTCAAAGCAGGGTTCGGGGGCTTGAGGCCATGTTGTGGTCCCTAACCTAAACTGTAAGCCCCAAAACCCTGAAAACCCAAAATTAAACCCAAAACCCTAAATTTCGCCAGGGAGTGGGGGGGAGTGGGGGGGGGGAAGGGGGGGGGGGAAAGTTAGATATGTCCCGAAGCTAAGCTGCAAACCCTGAACGCGAGACACGAGTCGAGCCGGTCAGTCTGGAGGGGCGGGCTGGTGTGCGGGGGGGCTGCGGGGGGTGTTGGGCGGGGCCCCCACCCGCCCCGGGCCCCCCCCCCGGCGCGTTTTAAGTTGTTGGGAGGGAGGGGAGGGGGAGGGTATCCAACACGCCGCCGGGGTCGGCGGACCCTAATTAAACCCTAAACCCTACACCCCGGAGCTTAAAGGTACTAATGGCTGTCGCGGCCGGTTATTGGATTTTTCGCTCACCAACCGCGGCGTGATCAACTCCCGAAGCCGAAACCCTGACAAGGGAATCGGGGTTTAGAGTTAAAGGTTGCCGTTGGGAGAAGAGAGAGGAGGGTCCAGCCATCGAAGCTCCCCCAAACTAAAATACGGGGCTTTCGGGTTCTTGGCCACCGCTGTTGGCACCCCCAGCACTTTCCAGGTACTTAAGGGCTCACGCCTCTGTCATGCCGCTGATTTTCCGAAGCAGAGTTCTGACGAAATGCATCTGGGCAAAACTTACAGCGATCCTTTGGCCATGGAGGCCTCGGAACAGATCCTCTCCAAGCTGTCGTCCCCTCAGCTTCAGCAGCTTCAGGCAATCTATCTCAATCCCCCCGAAAGCCTGAAAGCCCACAGCCCCTACAACCCCCTACACTACAACCCCATGCAACCCCCTACAACCCCTTCCAACCCCTTACAGCCCCTTACAACCTCAAACCCTCAAACTTACTTGGAAGTTCATGGGTAGCTATAAGTAGGGCAACTATGCTTACAACCTGCTTAGGGTACTTATAATCCTACTTATAATTACCCACGAACCTTCAAGTCTCCCTCAACCCTAAACCCTAAACCCTAAACCCTAAACCCTAAACCCTAAACCCTAAACCCTAAACCCTAAACCCTAAACCCTAAACCCTAAACCCGAA